CTGCAGACAGTGCCAGGGAGACTCAAGGAAATCAACGTTTTGGGAACGGTTTCTGTGCATGCTAATTCCTCCCACTCCTCCTTTTTCCCCTCCTAAATGGAAACTGGGGCTTTGAGCATCACCAGGGGATCCCAAACCTGGCACAGCAAAGTTGTCTCTGTCGGTAGAGCCCTTCCTCAGAGCAGTTCTCTTAAACCTGGCTGTGGCATAAAGGAAGGATAACATGCATTAAATGTGAAAGTAGAAATCCAAATACCAGGTGAGCATTACTGCATCAATTTGCTGTAGTCTGTGCCTCAGAGGGAGACATGGAGCTGCCATACCCCATTCCCATCATCACTGAGCAAGCCTTGCCCAGTTCAGCTCAGCTGCACCTTGCTGGAGAGTCCCTGTTCCTCTTGTGCTCAGCAAGAAATTTTCATGGGCAAGATTCCCCAGTGCTGAATTGTGGCTGACAGACCGGCACGGAACCAACTCAAAAGGAAGATTTTTCTAGAATTCTATTTGTTTGCCACCATCACTTTTTTTGAAGAGCTCTTTGCCTGGGAATTGGAGTTGCTGAGCCTGTTTCTGACCATGGAGAAGATGCTGAAGAGGGAATGAGAGCTACTTGAATGCAGAAAAATCTCAGAGAGGCTTGACTCAGGGTCACAAAACTGGTAATCACATCTTATTAGAAGAGAAAGTTGCTGTTGCAAAAGGTTAGTTGTGGATCTTGGTGGAAAACAACATTTCCCTCCGGGCTGAGGGCACACTGGCAGAAGAATTGCTCGGGGGTTCCACGTGTGGCTCCAGGCTCCGTGGCCTCGGAGGGTTTTCCTTAGGGACTGTTCAGGAGTGGAAGGAGCAGCAGCTGCCTCTTCTCCTGCCCTCCCTGCAGCCCAGCCTCCCACAGTGACTGTTCTGTGAGTGGGTGAGAGCACCTGTGTCTCGGTGTGCCTTGAGCACCCGCGGAGCTGCGGGCTGGCGTTGGTGGGGCTGCAGGAGCGCTGCATTCTGCCCCAGCCCCTTCCCTCCCGCTGCACTGGGGCCACACGTGTGTCCACGTGCTCCGTGGCAGCCTGGTCTCCAGCTGTTGCCCATGAAAAGATGCCATGAAATTAACTCCATCGGCAGCAATTGCCTTTTCCTGCCAGCACAATCAGTGTGGATTGTCTGTTCTTTTCCAAAGTTCAAGTGTGACGACTGCAGCTCTTTAAAACGGTCTCTCAAGGCTCGGAGCCTGGATGCACAGAGCTCCAGTGGCTTCTCCCTGGCAGTTCTCCTCTCCTTCCTAGAAGCAGATCTGCAGGCTGGTTAAATGGCCTTTGGGTCCCCTCCTTTTCCCCGTATCCCATCCTTGACCAAGAGTCTCTGGTTCTGGTCTCTTCCTGGAAAGCAGACTGTGATATTTGTGTTAAAGGGAAGAGATGAAGCTCTCAGTGATGGATGAGAGAGCAGAGGAGCTGCTCAGCTCAGGGAGAAGGAATACAGAGGAGACAAAGCTTCAGGGGAGGTGGATGCTCAGTGTTTATAAACCCACTTGTCTCTGCTCTAACCACCACATTCCTTTTAGGTACTTGAAACTGATAGATGAATGTTGACATTCAAATTGTGTTAATTCTGGGAATGGAGCTCAGTGTCGCTTTTTTCCTTGAGCGCGTGGGCAGTTTGTGTATCTGTGTGAGTTGTTTCTTCTGACTCAATCTATTAAGAGGAATTTTGTTTAGGTTTACGGGCTTACACAGTTCAGGTGTAATGAAAACCCCTCTTCCTTGGAAAGCATTTGTGTCGGGATCCTGCAGACTGAGCCAGCAGTGCTGCAGCTCACGCTGGGGCACCTGTGGTTAGAAATTCCATAGAAATTGAAAAACCATGCTCCCCAGCACGTATTTTTAATCTTTCCTCTCCTCTCCCTGATGCTTCCCTCTAGCCCAGTGTCCTACAAGCGGAGAAAGAATTGATTTTAAATGTGACCGCTGAATATGAGCCAAGGTCCCTGGGCTGTGTCCAGCTGAGGGGGACTTGTTTGAAACACAATTTACTTGTCTGTGTCTGTCTGCAGCCCTAAGAGGAGAGACTGCAGTGGTCTAAGGCAGGAAGACAAGTGCAAAAATTAATTGTACAGGTTGCAGCCAAAGCGTCCCTCAAGCATTGTGTCCCCCTCCTCACCCCCCTTCCAGTAAGTATAAAACAAGGTGTCATTTTTCACCTTCAGAGGGGGATTCAGTAAATGAGGCTGGAGAATTGCTTTGGGTAATGAAGGAAGCACACACTGTGTTTTCCCTCCTCCTGGCACTGCAGACACCCTTTTGGGTGATTCCCCTGCTTGTTAACAGCAGTGCACATGTTAGACAGGAGCTCACCCCAGAGACTCCCCCCAGAAAGTGGCTTCATTCCTGTTCCTGTTCCACTCCCTCTGGAGCAATCCCATGTACTCCAGGTCAAGATTTTCAAGGCTCTGAGCCCAGTCCTGGACTCTGTCTGTCCTGGTGTCTGTCTGTCACGTGCTGGGATGAGGATTTGTTCCTCGTGTTGGAGTCCCAGCAGGCAGCTTTGGTCTGTGCTGCCGTAGTCCCTTCATATGTGATAGATGAAAATCTGTCCCATGTCATTCTGTTGGGGGCTTCCTGTTGGATCTGCTTGTGCTGTGCCCCTCCAAAGCATTGCCAGGATTTAACATTGGTTCTCAACAGTAATTTTCCTTTGCTTCTCTGAGCTCCTGAGATTCCCTGTTGAGTCCATAAATTTCACCTGCCCTCCCCAGCCAATTTCCTGTTCCAAAATATTGCCATGCTGTGTGTGTGTGTACTTTAATGCTCCTCAAAATACGTATACACTGACAGTAAATATTTACTGAGGAACTTGCCGAGGTGTTGACAATGAGGACGGCTCTGAAGAGTTCTTGCTTTGTGTTGCATTTTTATTTAATTTACAGCTTGTAATTGCTGCTGCTGGTGGAAATAGCTTTCCTGGGAGCAGATAGGAATGGACAGCCCAGGATGTGGAGGGGTGCAGGCCCTGGCTGGGTGCAGCACGTTCAGGGCAGCAGAGCAGACACCCTTTGATGGAGAACAAAGAGGCAGAGCCCAGGAGGCCGTGGCTGCTGCGAGCCGTGGAGGGGCTGGGTGTCCTCATGTGCTCCCTGCCCGTATAAATCTGGATAACAGCCTCGTTCAGAGGCATCTGGAGCCAGCCCAGACCCAGGTGCTGGACTCTGCAGCCATCCATCGGCGGGTTTAACGCAGCAGCATCCCGGTGTGAGAAGCTTCAGTGGCTTGAACTTCAAATAATTTATTTCTAAATTACTTCTACTGTAATTCTTATTAATTCAAATAGTCTTCTAAGCTGATGTAAAATTCAGTAAACGCAAGGAACAGTTTAATGAATTGAAAATAGGATTGAGTCTTTTAAAGTAAATGTAAAAAAATATGCTGGCAATAATTGCTTAGATGGAAATCGAATCTTAATAGCTTTGTTAATGATTTGTAGGGAATATTGCGTTTATGAGAACATATCAAGCTGATCCTTGTGCAAGAACCTTGTTTTGAATGGGTTTGATAAAATTATTCCCCAGAAGCAGTTAGTAATGTTTAATATTTTTGCTTGAACCACTTTTGAGACGTTTGATTTCATTGATGCCAGGGCCTGGCTGTGGCTCTGCCGCGCTGCTCCAGCACCTCCAGCAGCATGTGGCACAGGCAGGGCTCTGCTCTGGGGTCTGCACAGTGGTTTGGGATTTGAGAACAGAATAATTTATGCTGAAAAAGCCCTTTAAGATTATAGAGTCCAGATAAGTGCCTCCAAGGTTCAAGAACACCGTGTTAAGGGTGCTGATAGTGTGGTGGGGTGGCTGAATGCTCATCTTCTGATCAGAGGGCTTTGAGCAGGACCAGCTTCATCCTGATGCACGGAATGTGGAGCCAGGCAGATGTCTGGGGCAGGCTCTTTGCCCCTCTAGAGTGGGGCTGGGGTCTGTGCTCCAGTATGGGTGTTACTGTTGGATAGTAAATCTTCTTGTTGGTCCTCCAAGTTCATCAGTCTGTAGAATCTATCTAAAATTTATACTGAGAGGGCAGAAAAATGTGCCCAGACTTCAGCTTTCTGCCCATCAGGTGTGGAGAGAAGTCTGATGGCTTATCAATCTTTCTCTTTCCAAACGATGCACCTTTTGGTCAAACATTTGTTTCCAAGGGATGTCAAACTATAAAGGCAAGTTGGAAAGAAAGATAAATGAAGGAAATGCAAGGTGAGAGGAAAACTGGGGTTTAAATATGATCCCCAGATTTCCTGTGGGCAAACTTTGTCCCAGTCCTGCATTTTTGTGTTTCTCGTGGCTAAGGCAGCTGTGGAGCAGCAGAGGATTCTCTGACCACCCAGCCCGTGGCCAAGTGCCCAGGTGTCCTGGCTTCATTTGGAGCATTGCCAATCAAAGTCTCAGCACTTCTCCCACTTTGGTTCCCAGCAGTGATGGAGAAATTGAAATGCAAGGCACATTCTGCTGCCATGCCCGTGTCCTTTGGCGTTGGAGGCGAGTGTCTCCGCGTGCGGTGCTGCGCCGCCTCGGCTCATTAGAGGAGAGTTTTCGGGGTGATGACCTGGAAATGATTACAAGGCTCCCACGGCATAATTGCACGGGATCCTTTTTTTCCCCTGCCTCTGGACATTAATAGCACCTGCTGATTACACAGAGTGAGTAACGACTGATTCCCTGAAGTCTGTCTGCTCCAGTCAAAGGATAAGTGCTTCTTACAGGGAGTTGTTCCTTCAAGGTAATTTAACAGGATTTGTCTGTTGGGAGAGGAAGGGAATTTTTGGTGTTTCTGTGCGGGGCAGCAGTCCTTCCTCTATTCCCATCACAGAGCTCCCTCCTCACTGCTCCTTTACAGCTGCCTGGGGACCCTGAGTCAGTGGCTCACTGGCTGATGTTCCTCCGTTGGTGGCGTGGAGCTTTTCACTCCCAAGCAAAACCCACTGGTGTCATTTCTGACCTCGAGTCCCGCCTTTGCTCTGTCCTGCAGGTGATGGTCAGAACTTGGTGACAGAGGACGTGACCGTGGTGGAGGGGGACGTGGCCACCATCAGCTGCCGCGTCAAGAACAGCGACGACTCGGTGATCCAGCTCCTGAACCCCAACAGGCAGACCATCTACTTCAGAGATTTCAGGCGTAAGTTTGTGGTTCCTCGTTTGGTCATGACTCCTCCTCTGCCTCGCTTGCGCTCAGGACACGGCACTTGCTGAGATCCCTCCTGTTTGTGCAGTGCTGGGCACTTACAGTTCACTGGTTCTGTGGAGACAGGTGAGATAGACAATCATAATCTTCCCCTTAATGGAAGACTTCACAGTTCCCTCTAAAAGTCAGAGCATCTTACTTTGCAATGGGAATTGATTGTTGTAATTCAGGGTGAATTGCAATTGAATGCCAAATATTTAGCTGACACAAACAAATTGAACAGGGCGACACCGAGACAGCGCGGTGTTCTCAGGAGTAATCTCTTCAGACCAAAGACTGAACATTTCAGGACAATCTGTGCCGCTTTCTACCCAAACTGAAATCTCTCATCACTTGCATGTCCAGTGGATAAGTCTGTCCTGTGGTGACAGTGCCGTGGTAGCTGCAGTGAGACACTTTAAATGGTCTGTGTTAGTGTCACTGTGGGGACATGCCTGTACTCTCTGCCCAGGAAGCAACAGGACAGGAAAAAAGCTTTAAATTCTGCTTCTCCCAATTCCTTCCTCATTTAGGCTGTCTCTGAGTGCCCACATTTGGTGCTGGGACTGTATGAACACCATAAGCATTTTACTACACATCCCTAAGCCACCTGGCAATAAAACTAAGTCCAAAGATTTCATGCTGTGCCCTGTGATTGGCTCATGTTGATTATTTGAAATTATTTGAGAACCAAAAGATTTTTATAGGTCCAGCTTCAAGGTAGGAAGGAGCTAATCAGGAGCCCAGGGGTGCTCACCTTGATGTGCTGCTGTCTGTGGGGATCTCTGGGATTGTGGAGTGGTGGGAAGGGGACGTTGCCTCGCTCGGTGCAGTCACCCAGGCTGTGCTTGCCCCACAGCCCTGAAGGACAGCAGGTTCCAGCTGGTGAACTTCTCCAACAGCGAGCTCCGGGTGTCCCTGACCAACGTGTCCATCTCTGATGAAGGGAGGTACTTCTGCCAGCTCTACACCGACCCCCCCCAGGAGATCTACACCACGATCACGGTGCTGGGTAAGGAGCCCTGCAGGCCCTGGGCACGCAGGGTCAGTGGGATGGGAGAGCCCCAGGGGGCCTGGAGAGGAGTTGGAAGCAAGGGTTTGAACGCTGAGTGCTGATGGCCAGGGGAGGACGTGCTGGCAGCGACTGCAGCTGCTCTGCTCCAGCAGTTCCTGATGATTAGCAGCAGCTTTTAAGGCTCTATTAATGGGAGAACCTGAATCAGGCAGGGTGACTTAATGTAAGATCTCACTTGCTGATTAGTTTAAATCTTCCTTCTTTTGCTTAATGAGATTTGGGTCTTAGGTTTTTATACGTTGTTAAGTGATGTTTATAAGCAGTTTTACTCTTGCTATTACAGTTATCAACACCTTCAAAGTTTCCGTGCACTTTCCAGCACTCACAGGCACAGGAAGCTCTTGTAGCTCCTGCCTCTAATCGTGCACAGGCAAAAACAGTTTGTTGGATTTGATTTCACTGCTGGCAATGCTGAGAAGGTGTTTGAAAGGAGAATACTCATTTCATTCACCTGTAAGCCAGCACTGCGTGTCTTTTAAGTGGGAGACATAATGCAGGTTTTTGTTGGGTTTTTTAAAGTATGAATCATGCTTTAGAACTGAGGGAAAAGTCAGTTTTCTTGCCTTGTACTTCAGTTGTTTTTGAGAAGCCTTTGTGGCATGGCCAGTGTGTGTGCTGCCTTTCCCCCCCATCCATAAAGGAGGTGGTTTCTTGTCACCTTTGTCATGTTCTCGGGTCAAACCTCAGCTCAGGAAGCAGGCAAGGATGAGGGAGGTTTATTAGCAGAAGATGAAGGGAGGGTGTTTGTACTTGCATGGAGAGATTGGGCACTCTGATGCCAGGGATGGCTTGTCTTGCCTGTCTTTCCTATTATTGGCTCCCTAATTAGGGGAACTAATGAGCCAGGGTGGAGGAGTGGTACTCCGTGTTGGTGTTGGCTGGTCTTCCCAGGAACTTGCTCCCCCACAAAAACCTCGTGGCCATCACCCAGCCTCTGATAGAACTGAAGCTGTATCAAAGACTGGTTTTTGGCCTGCCTCTGATGCTGCCAGCTCGGGAGAGCAGAGGGAGGTGCTGAGGTGTCCCCCTTTGCAGCTGGCATTCGGGGGGAGCTGCACTTTTGCTTCAGCACTTTCATGTCTTCTGTGACACAATATGTAGATTTATTCATGCTTAATTGGAACATGTGAAAGTCTCAAATATGTAGCTCATTCTGTTCTTTTTAGAGAGAAGCCACAAGTGACTAATTAGTCCATTTGATCATCTGGATGGTATTTATACATATTTGTTCTTCATTAGCTTTAAGACCTGTGAGTCACATCTGAACTGTGCAGTTGCTTAATCACATTGATCAGAGCAAAGTTGAGTTTCCTTTGGAAGTTCTGGGATTTTCTGAAGCCGTGACTCTGCCATAAGAGCTCTGGCTGTTCACTTTTTCCTGGGTTTTGTCTTGCTGCTGGTGCTTTCATGGGAAAGAGGTTCCCTTGTTCCCATGTCTTAATTTTTAAGCTCATTTGTCCCATTTCTGGGCTGTGCTGCAGTGGTTGTTACCCCTGAAGTTACAGCCTGTTTCTCACTGTAACTGGATGATTTTTCATTGTGTACAATCTTCCAGCTTTGTGTTTTGGGAGACTCCTCATCTAGGGGAGATGTGTGCCTGGGCAGAGCAGCAGATCTCCACCCCAAAGGATGTGGCTCTTGTGGATGGGTGTAGAGCCAGCTCCCTCCTCCTCTCTTTGGGGTGGTTTTGGGGGGGTTTGTGGGGGTGTGATGGGGGGCAGGGCTGTTCCCAAGGGATGGTGTTCCACTCCAGGCTTGTATTCAGTGGCTTTTCGAGCGTCTTAAATGAGGTTGATGTTTGCTGGCCTGCTTCCACGCTCACGGCTGAGCCTTGGAGCTGAACAGCAGGAGAGAAAAATTGCCGTGGAGGTTAGAGGCTCGGTAAGTAATGCAGTGCCAAGTGTCAGCTTTTGTGTTTCCTCTCCTTGTCAGAGAAGTCAGGAAATGTGCACGGAGTCAAGCTGGATTTTTAAATAGCAGCACACACCCGAGCAGCGCAGGAGGCTGCGGCTCTCCCTGGAACCGTGCCTGCCTGGGAGAGGGAACAGAAAGTTACAACCCTGATAAGTAATCATTTGTGAGACTGCGGTGATTATTAGGTGGAGAGTGAAAGTGCTCACTCCAATTACTGCAAAACCACCTATCAAAGGGTTTGATTGATTGAAAGATCAAATAAATGCCGGCTGCTTGTTTCCTTCAGTAGATTTTACAGGTTTTCCTCAAGGTTTTGTCCTGTGTTAGTGATCAAAAGATGTTTTTTTTCATCTGGTTTGTGTTGTGTTTCCCATTCCAGTCCCACCACGCAATTTGGTGATTGATATCGAGAAAGAAACCGCCGTGGAGGGAGAGGAGATCGAGCTGAACTGCACTGCCATGGCCAGCAGACCAGCCACCACCATCAGATGGTTCAAAGGCAACAAGGAGCTAACGGGTACGTGTGTCCTCTCACTCCCTTGCTTTGTTCAGGGAGCTGAAGTGATTTATGTAATGCTGGGTGTTTGTTCTCTGCTGCCAGTTTAAGGGGAAAAAAAAGTAAAAAAAGTAGAGCGAGCTTCTTTGAGCGCCAGCTGAGGAACAAAGGACTGTGTGGGCAGACAGATTATTCCCTAACGCAGGGGGCTGAACTCCATTTGGTCCTCTGCCTACCTGCCAGCCTCGAGTGCTGGGTTCTGGAGTCCTGCTGTAACTGCAGGTGACCTTGAGGAGCCCAGGGCTGTGCGCTGAATTCATTTCTGCATGGCTTGTGTAGCTCTGTGCCCTGTCTCAGCTACAAGAGGGATCGTCTGCGCTTTGGGCTGTAAGGATTTGCAATTCACCTTCGTGTCTAGCTCCCTTGTTTGTAGAGCGTTTTCCCTGTGTTCGGTTGAATATTCATCTAAGATGGGTTTCTCTCAGTCCCTGAAGTCTGGTGGCTCCCAGTACTTGCACATTCAAGTCACTGGCTCTGATTGCATGTGACACACTGTTAGTTTAAGTCTGCATATAGATGTGAGCTTGGTTGACAACACCTTTGTGCTTTACCCAGTCTGAGACACTGACGGACTCTCTGCAGAAGTCCAGACTCATTACTTCAAACACACCCCCTTGCAAGGACAGGATAAAATCCTCTCTTTAAGCCAAACACGTCAGAGCATTTGAGCAGCCCACGTGCTGGGAGGATGCTGGTAGAGGTGGGATGCAAACCTGCTGCCTGGCGAGGTAGTGCCCCGCTGCATCCCAGTGCTGTGCTGTGCAGGGAGTCAACAATCCCATTCTGGTTCCCTTCCCCATATCATGGGCAGCAGGACAAAGTGTTTGTCCCTTTCTGCCTGACCTGTGCAGCTTCTTGATTGAAGATTGAGCTTTCTTGTGGTAGCAGTCGAATCCCAGCTTTGAGTTCTCTGGGAAGAATGTTGAGCTTCATGTAATACCACCTCACCCTGCTCAGTCTTCAGATATTTTTTTAAGAGAGTAGAGACTGAAACATTTGGCTGTGAGTTTGTGAATCACAGGAAGTGTGGCTTTGCCCATGGGAAAGCTTTTCCTCCAAATATCAAGGGGTGTCTGCATGTGTCACCTGTTTCACTCTCATATATTATACAGCAATATTTGGTGTCTGCAAGAGCTCTGCTACAGAAGTTACTCTTAGCAATTTTGCCTGTGAATTCTTAAATAAAGAAGCACAGATCAGAGCGGAACTGTGCTGTCAGCGGGTGCTTGCTGGGTTTCTGGAAAAATCCTTTTTCTCCTGTCTTGTCTCGTCTCGTTTTGTCTTGTCTTCCTGCTTGTTTCCATCACAGCATCCCTCAGGCAGCCAGTCCCGAGCTGGGCTCCCCTCCCTCAAGCAGAGCACTGCCAGTGCTCCCACCTATCCATGCTGCTTTCAGTTCCTTTAATCTGATAGCTAATTGTTGATTCAGGAGTGGGAGGGGATTTGTAGCTCATTGACTGAAGAGTTTGGGGATGTGGGCATGCTGTTAATCACCGCAGTAACATCGCGCGGACTCCACTTGGCCGGAGCCTGACCAGGGGAGGACGGCATGGGTGTCCAAAGGGAGCGTGGACAGGAGGGAGGTGGCCTGGCAGCAGGGGTGTCTCCACCCTGTCCTGAGTCCCCTCTCGCTGTTCCCTGCCCCAGGCAAGTCGGAGGTGGAGCGGTGGTCCGACATGTACACGGTGACCAGCCAGCTCCTGCTGAAGGTGGGGCGCGAGGACGACGGCGTCCCCGTCATCTGCCTGGTGGATCACCCTGCGGTCAAAGACTTGCAGACACAGCGTTACCTGGAAGTCATGTGTGAGTAGCAGAGCCTTTAATTCTCTTAACGTATAAAGTTGTGTGCTTGGGAGTTCAGGAGCCATTCCCTACGTGTTAAAATTCCGACATCCGTGAGGGTTATGTCCTGTTACGTGGGAATCATAAACACAATGTAAGGTAACACTTCATGGGTGAAGCCACAACTTTCCCAGCCCTGTGTGATACCATAGGTACTTTGTTCTCTGATGAAATAACTCTCTGTGCGTAGAATTTGCATCAAAGGTTTCTGGCTGGGCTTTTTAATTGTCAGCACAGATTAAATCTGAGTATTTTTCTTCTAGCAACCTACTTACCTCTGAGAAGTGCTTCTCCCCCTTCAAAGCAACTGGCCACCGTGGCGAGTTTACTGGCAAAAACTGGGTACTGTGCAGGAGAAACCCAGTGTCGTGCACTGTGAACACACAGCATCAGCTGGATTTGTACATCAGAGTATGGAGCTCTCTGGAATCTGTAGTAGCAGCGCTGATTGAAGCCAGCCTATTTCCTGTGCTGCTCCTGACATGTTCATTGTTAATAATGCATCTCACTTCCCTTAGGAGCTGCTCCACTGTACATGACAGCAGCAAGCAGGTACCTGGAAATAGCTGTGGTCCCAAATGCACCTGGTGGAGATTTTGGCGCTGTGTACATGCATCCCTGTGTTCTGAAACATCTCCCAAAAGCAAAGTGGGATGGTCCCTGCAGCGAGGCCGTGTGCCTGGAAAGCCAGGCCCTGAGACAATACAAAGCCCTTGTTTTTGTAGGGTCCCTTCAACTACATCACACTGAAAGGAGGAGAGGAAGTTTTGTATTAATTTATTTCATCTGCTTCATTATGTAGTTTCATTATGAACATCTTGGTTACAATTCTCGTATCTCCAAAACTAGCGGGAAGTAATGTTCCTGTAATGAGGAAAACAGGAATGATCAGATACTGCCTAAATTGACAGATACGAGATTTCTTGCGACTGTGCTAATGTGTAATTCATTTATGCAAACTTAATGTCCATTAACATTTCTTGCAGAGCTCCATTAGCTTTAATAATACATTAGCACCTTTGTGAGGCGTGATCAAATACTTAACGGGGAAGAGCAAAAAATGCCATCTGCCCTGGTGTGTGAGGGGATTGGAACTCGCTGGGCTGGAAGGGCGTTGGACAACCTTGAGGCTTCCTTTCAGAAATCTCTCTGGAATCCTGGTGATGTGGTGGAATAGGAGAAATATTCCCCCCTGCTGTTTCGGGGGGAATAAAGCAAATTTTTTTTCTCTTCTTCCTCAAATAAATCCCTCCTTGGCCACTTCAATTTGCAGCCTTAGGGGTTGCCCATGCCATGAGGGTAAAGCACCCCTAAAGCACAGTTCTTTGTTCAATTTTGCTTTTACTGCTGATTTTTGTATCTCCTTGGGCTGTTCCAGAGCTGTTTGTGGGAATGAGGGATGGAGCCTCTTTGGGAGGGAACAGGGATGAGCAGGAGAAGGGAGTTCAGGCTGATTTGGTTTTACGTTCTGAATTAAGCTCTGAGCATGTTAAAAGTAATTATGTTCCAGTGTGGGGACTTGACCCCATTAGCCCAGTCTGTTCTTGAGTGGACACCAGCAGATGGCCAGAGAGGAGCCCCAGCCCAAGAACTTGTCCTGCATTGTGACTTGGTGGCTCGATGGCCTGGAGCATGGCCAGACACCTGCATTTCATACCAGCTTAAAGAAAAGGCAGTTTCAGAGCAAACTCTTGCCCTGCAGCTTCTGCTGTCTGATGATGATGATTTGTTGGCCAGTGGGAGAGTGTGGGCAGGAGGAAGAGCCCCTTGTCCTTGCACACAGGCATCTCCATCCGTGCCCCCATGGAGCTCTGCCCTGGGGGAGCTGGGGCTCCTGCACTGACACCTTCTCAGCTGATTTTGGATGTGGAATGTGCAGCAGAGGATGCTTCTCCAGCTGCTGCCTCCACTGTCCATGGCATGTCCTTGCAGGCACCCAGGTCTCTGCTGGAGTGGCACTCAGAATTCCTTGCTCATCCCGTGTGGATGTAGCTGCTTTCCCTGCAGCAGGTCAGTTCCCTGGGCTGCCTGTTCCACTCTCTGCTCTGACTTCCTCTCCCCACAAACCCTGCCCGCTCCCCTCACGGGCACAGCGGATCCGCCCCTTCAGAACATCAGCAGGGCACAAGAAAATGTTTTCCTCAGCAGATGTTATATTTCTCTGCACTTAATGTATCCAACTGGAGCATGAAATGTGCTGGGGAAGGACAGGAGGATGATGGATGGAGCCTGCTCAGATAATGAGGTATTTTTTGTCTGACTAAATTTCAGAGTAGGGAGATATTTTTTCTGAGATGCAACTAAAAAGTTGTGGGATTTGTTTTCCAAGGAAAAAGCAGAAAAGAGCAATGCTGGGTGTTAACTTGCCCTGTTCATGGAGTAAGCCATTTGTTGCATATCTGCCCTGGCACAGCGTGGCGCGTGGTGAAGTTTGAGGTGAGTAACACACCCTGCGTGGCTGTAGGGTGTGTTACTGCAAAGAAATCTCTGTGAACAAACAGTGTAACGTGTGAAACCCTCCCCTCACACTCCTCAAAAGCAAAGCAGGGCTGCTCTGAGAGCGTGGTGCTCTCACAGTGCCCCAGCCTGAGGAGCATCCCCAGCCCTGGCACTGGGGTGGAAATGTCCCCAGGTCTGCTGCAGCCGCTCTCCTTCCCTGCATCCCTCACTGAGCCGTGGGACACCAGCGCAGTGGGTGGAATTTTAGAAAGGAAATGAAGCAACAAAATGCATTAGGATGTCGTTAAGGAGCTGAATGGAACCAGATATTCTGGGAGGCGTGAGAGTTGAGCCCTTGTGGTGCGTTTGCTGCTCTCATTACGTGACACTGGAAGCGAGCGTCGGACCTGGAGTTTGGCCTTTTCTCTGGGCTGGCTTTTTGTCCTTTCCTGAAGTTATAATTACCTGTGCATTCATTTTTGTCATACCTACATGTGTACCTTTAAAGCCTGCCCCAGTGGAGTCTTGTTGCAGCCTCTGCTGTTGCGATAGGAGAACTTTTTGTGCCCGATTATGTTTAAAATCAGCCACATACGTTTGCTGCCACATCTCCAGTAATCCTTACATTTCCGTCCAGTACAAATATTAATTGCATAGTTTGCAGTGAAGTGATTAACATCAATGTAATTTATCATCTGGAGATCGCTAAAAGCGAATAAATGAGTTGTTTTGTTCAGTGAGGTGTTGACCCCTTCAGAAACTTTGATTTAAAGCTGTTTTTTTTCTTTTAGTGAATATGAAAAGCACCACAATCAGCCGAGTGTTCAGTTATTTGATTTTCTGGGGCATTAGCCACTCTTGTTTGTGACATTTCCCAGTTGGGTGCTCGTTTGTGAGCTCATTAATAAGGTTTTCTCGGAGGAATGTTGTTGGGAGCAGGGAGCGTGTGGGGCGACCGGGGCTCTGCCATTTGCAGGCATTAAGCAGCAGAGTGTGCTTCAATATTAAAAGAGAAGTGTTTATCCCCAAAAAGCCTGTCGGGTTCTGGCATTCCTTTTCCCGCAACAAGCAAAATGATTCAATTGCTTTCGTTAAGGGTGAATTTTGCAGAGTCGTGTTTGGGGTTGACAGGCTCTTCCAGACAAGCTGTGATCTGCCAGTCCTGCTCATTCCTTATTTTAGACACGGGATCTATTTATTGAATAGATTTCTGTATTTTGGCTGGAAATCAGCAGTGCAGCCTCTCGTCCTTGTCAGAGGTGAGGAGCAGGCAGGGGATTGCCAGGCTGGGCTGGCTTTGACGCAGAGTGCATTCCTGATGAGCAGCCCCGCTGGATTTTGGAATGGAGGTGGCTGTTGTTTACACCTGAGGATCAGTGTTAACTTTGCTGACTCCTTTTAATATTGAAAAACACATTTTTCCTGCTCTTCCCCGAGTGAGATCGGAGACTGCCTCAAGTCAGTTTTTTGAGCAGCTCTCTTTGGCACAGAAGAGAGCAGGGACGAGGAGCTGGATGAAGCAGTGCCCACCTGAAGGGAGATGTGTTAAGCATTATCTGGGAAATGCTGAGGCTGGGTTTACCTACAGTGGGCAGGAAGGCGGCTTGGCCCGCGGATCCTGCTCCCAGGGATGCCATCTGCCATCAGGTTTGCCAAGAGGTACGTCAGCAATTCATGCGGGGATCAGAAAACGGATTTCAGACTTGGACCCGGCACCTCCTTGCCTGGCAGAGGCCAGAGCCTGCTGGGCTGAGGCACTGGCAGGGTCCAGGCTGCCGGCTTCTCTGCCGGCTGGGGTCTGGCGCTGCCAAAAGCACCACGTGCTGGCTTCCCAGCCCTTGGGAAGAAGCCTTTTGGCTGTCTCCAGCCTCCCAGGGAGCGTGTCCTGTGGGTGGGGTGGTCAGCGAGGGTCTCACGGCCCCTGGAGCATCCCTGGGCGCGCGGGGAGCCGCGCTTGCCAAATCTGCCTGGTGCGGGAGTGGGGCAGCGAGCTCGCCTGCCTCCGAGGTCGTGGGCTGGCCTGATGAAAGGGAACGGGTGGAAATAATAGGCTTAGGCTTTTGTAAGGCCCCGAACTCGGTGTAATGTTTTATCTCGGCTGATTAATGACATCTAAGCATTATCGATGAAGCGCGTGTTTAAATGGATTAAGAAATCACTAACTGGCAGATCTCAAAGGATAGTCATTAGGGAGTAATCAGCAGTGCTGGTATTTTTAGAGGGAACGCAGGGGCCTGGGTGCTTGGCCTGATGCTGTTCAGTTGAAGCATTTGAAGTTCTTAAAAAGTCACTGTTAATAATCTTTGCTGATGGCACAAAAATGGGGCGAGCAGCTAAAAAAGGAAGAACTGGGACAAATGCAGAATAACTGGAGTGGTTTGGTAACCTCCCAAGCACGGAGCCTGAGAGCTGTGAAAGTCAATGGGTGCAGGCTTCGGTGGTCTGTGGCATCCTGAGGGGAGGTGAGGGTTTTGGGGTGCATGGTGGCTCTGGGGCTGCGGACCCCGGAGCACGGGCACGCGCCATGCCTGTTGTGAGAGAAATCTCATCAAATGCAGAATGGCTTTGTAATAAGTTTTTCAAATTGGCTGCTGCTACAGTGTAACCTTTAGACGACTGGTATTTAACCTTGTATATCACTCTGAGCTTTTGAATGAATTTAGCTTAATAAAGGTGCCTTATTAAATTACGAGGCTGTTTTTTTCAAGCTGCTAGAAAGAGGCGTAGTAGGAAATAGCTGTGGGTTGTTGGGTCTAATTGGCTGCCATGGAGCACGCAGGGCCTCGGGTGCACAGATGCAAGTGTTTATTTTTGTGTAACAATCCAGTGGTGTGATGTTACGAAGTTCCAAGTTGAGGATTTCGGGCACTGGGATGCACTTGGTGGCGGGACCCGCCGCTTCCTGCCCGGTGTCCCGCGTTACCAGCCAAGGTGGTCGTCACCCCACGTTGCAGAGCTGCAGGCATCACTGCTGGAGCGTGTCCTGTGTGCCAGGGCGGTGGCAGAGGGCTGGAGCAGGCCTGGGAGCCGTCAGAGCTCTGTCGTGTGCTGCTAAATGTCACAGGAGCCGGGCTCGGGGTCCCACGGCGCTCGGCATTTCACAAACCTGCACGCGGAGTCCATCGTCTGCAGGAAATGCACTGAGAGGCAGGGTGTGAGCACTGGCAGTAGGATTTCAGATTGTCTATAGGCACTTCCTTAAACAAAGGGAAAAAGCCACCACTGCCCCTCCAGATTCTTGAGTGAAGTTATTTTTGCATGCCATGAGCCGAATGCCAGCCCGTCCTCTGGAGTGTCCATTCATCCCTCTGCATCCCTCAGGCTCAGGTGCATTTTCCTAAGTGCCCTCTGTAACTCCCAGTGTGCTGGCAAGTCCTTTGCTGTGGTGACTCCATCGGGAAGTTCTTGGCTTCGGCGGTGTTGGGACATGTGCTGATAAACCCAGATTCCTGTTGCAGGTGACACCTGGACAGTGCCTGGATCCAAATGGGACGGGCCCACTTCGCTGCCACTGCTGGTTTGGTGAAGCTCGTGGGGCTGGGAAGTGGCAGTGGAAGGGTGGGAGCTCATGGGGCTGGCAGTTTGTGCTCAGTACAGTGAGCCTGGGTGTATTCCTCCTGATTTCCATAAGTAATTGTCATTAGTAAACAGCTCATTAGAAATACTAAACTCACCTAATGGGAAGGGGATGCAGCAGGAGAGGCAAACAGCCAAAGGAGGTGTTCCAGTCCCCAGTGCTGAGTCAGCTGGGCTGGGGAGGTTCCCTGTTCCTTCCACAGCACGGATATAACACCATCCACGTTCCTGGCACGGGCTGGTGCTGCTGCAAAGCTCATCCGACGTGGGGAGCAGATGGCTGTGGGGTGGGAATTGTGGACGGGAGTGGTGAGCGCAGTGCTGAGGATGTGCTGTGTGATTTATTTGCTGCACAACACCAGGTGAACTTGTCCTGCCGTGCTCCTTGTGCAGAGCTATTGCCACTCCAGGGCTGGAGGGCATTTCCAGGCACACCGAAGCTGCCCCGTGTCCTGTGGGACTGGCACTTGTCCCCTCAGCTGGTGACACCTTGAAGGGCTGCCACCACCCCCAGCCCACAAGGACAGCCCAGTTCCAGAGCTGCAGGAAGCATCTGTAACAGGGATTAGTTGATGAAATGTTGTGGTAGAGTCATCTCGGGAGAGGATTTACTTGTGTAGCTTATTCCATTACGGAAAATTATGAGAGTTTAAATTGGTTAAATCCTGACACACGGGTTTTTTTTCCTAATCTCTGTTATTCCATAGGAGGCATGTTAATGAGTTAAACACAGTTAATAAAATGCAGCCAGCCAATATTTTGGGTAGCAGTTACTCTCAAAGGAAATAGAAACATTTAAATGGTTTCAACCTTTATGCATACTGATTTTTTTCCTTCCTTTGTTCCTTACAGTTGAGTAAATTCCTGAAAAATATCTATGGCTTAATGGCACTTGTAGCCTTGAATTGATTTCCTGCACTGATAATGTTTTAGCTACAGCTCAGATTGCATTTTTAATCTCTGTTTCAGTCATGGGAGGTAATGAATTTTTTAATTGTGGACTCTAGGTTTGTGGTTTGGCTCTTTTTTTCCTGCAGGGTCTTACCAAAGTGTTGTTGAGCTGGCTCCCTAACTATCCATGCTTTAATTCTCTGTTTATTGTAGGATTTAGAGGAGCTTCATCTGGACGAAATGCAGCCTCCTGTTGTTTACAGGGAGGCAGCAGTGGCTGTGGCTCTGTTTGTGTCTCTAACGAGCATCTCTTGTCCAGCCCAGCGTGTTAGCGCTCACGGACTCCGGGGGGCCGCGGTGCAGGAATCGCGGACACCCCGCAGAACCCTCCCAGCCCGGGCACCGCGCGTCTCTCCAGCTTCCCCTCAGCAAGGCAAAGGAGCTCCTTGTAGCTGGAGCGAGCCGGGGGCCGCGCTGTGCCGCAGGAGGCCCTTCCCGGCAGCGCGGCGGGGCTCGCGGTGCCCCGGCTCCACGCGCTCCTGCTGCGGCACCGAGGGCGCGCGGCGGGGCGCGGGCCGGGGCTCACCAGCCGTGTTTTGTGTCCTGCAGATAAGCCTCAAGTGCGGGTTTCTCAGAATTACCCCTTGCAAGGCCTGACGAGAGAAGGGGAGCCGCTGGAGCTGACGTGCACAGCCTTTGGAAAGCCACAGTAAGTCGGACCCTTCCCAGGGATGGCCCAGGGCTGGCCGGCGGTGACGGGACGTTGTGTGGCCGCTGTCCCTGTTGCCATTCTCTGCTGGGAAGACGATGTCCCAGATGCCTCCTGCACCCAAACATCTGCTGGACTTACTGTGCACCTAATGGCCGAGGAATTTCCACTAAAAAAGCTCCTAGGAGACCTCTTCCTGGCCACCATGCAGCAGCCTTTGGGTGCAGAAGGGCAAGGCTCCCAGCTGGACACCTCTTCCCCCAGGGAATGGCTTGGGTGGCATTAATCTGCAGTTAATCATGGGTTTGGTTAATCTGCAAAAGCAAGGCTGGGGGCTGCACCCCTGGAGGTGCTGGTGCATGGATGCCAGCCTGGCACCGCAGCACTGAGCCCTTGGGGAAGTGGGATGATAATCATGGGTTTGGTTAATCTGCAAAAGCAAGGCTGGGGGCTGCAGTTGTGGCCCCTGGAGGTGCTGGTGCATGGCTGCCAGCCTGGCACCGCAGGCACTGAGCCCTTGGGGAAGTGGGATGGATCCCCAGGTAAGGCAGTCCATCCTTCTGCTCGTACTGACTCTGTGATGGTTTTCCTCCCCCTTGGTGCCCCGTGTGGTTTTTATAGAATACCAGTTTTTACTCTCTCTCCTCTTCTTGCCAAGCCCTTGAGGCTTTCTTAGGCAGCTGAAGAAATTTATGCATCAGGAAAATCCTGGCAAGGGAGGGTAGATTTTCTCACACTTTCATTGCTGTTCTAATTTAAGTTTTGTCGGCTTTATTTTTTTTCAAAATACTTTCTCTTCCACTTGGATTTATGGCTGTCAAGTATTTACTATCCTTCTTTATTTTCATCATGTCCATAAGATTTCTGCAAACATTCCTGAGATCTGTCAGTGCCTCCCTGGCAGCGTGCCCAGAGCTGGGGCGTGGGGAGCTGGACCCCGTCCAGCTCGGCGTTGTGGGCAGGGCAGGCACCCAGCGCTGAGGAGGCTCAGGCTGCCCTCATCCTCCCTGGTAGCCTCCATCCCCTTCCACAGTATTTTCTTGATTGCCATAGTACTTGCTTGATTCCCACTCCCCAGTTTGTTCTGTTCGGCACGAGGCCAATCCCTTCCCTGTGCATCAGAGGCTGGCACGTCCCTGCTGAATTCCGTTTAGTAGCTATTCCCTGCTCAGAGCCTGCCAAGTCCCTTTGCATTCCTGCTCCCCTGGGTACCTGCAGTGCCTCCCATTTGCTATCAGCTGGGAATCTAATGAACAGGCTTCTCTACATTTTTTCCTTGCAGGCTATGAGTAAGACATTCCCATGTTAAATAGGACAGACACATCTCCCTGGCAGCTTGCCGCTGCACGTTTCGTGGTGCTGGTGATGTGCTGGGAATTGGCTTCTCTAGGTCACTTCACCTGGGTCTCCCAAAGCTAAGAAAATACACAGTAAAATAATGAGCTGGGTTTGGCTCCATCTTTTTAAGACAAAGAGGTTTCATGAAATCTTTTACAGAGGTTTCAGATGAAGGGGGACGTTTCTCCAGTTAAGCAAAGTAATTTCTCTGCAAAATTTGGCAACATAAATATTGGGGGAAGGAAGCTCAGAGGGAAAAGAGACTAGAGAGGAGAAATTTCTATTTGATATTAATACAGATATTTTGTTAGATTAGATACAGCTCCCTAAAACTATGACATAAGTGGGAGGATGCTGAAATGGTCACCTGTGAGGCATCCAGGGACACACTTCTCTGAGCAGCAGCTACTGTGTCGTGTACCACCTGGGACTCCACAGCACAAGGAGCTCTTTAAAAACTGTAGCCAGGAGCATTCAAACCCTTCCCACCCATACTGAAGTTAAACTGCATTTGGGCTGTCTCAGGAGCTTCTGCTGCCCACTCTGTGCCTCGTGTGCCGATTCCAAGGCAGCGAGGGACAGAACACCAAGCCCACGTCCAAAACCAGCCAGCCAGTGCCCAGCTGAGTTTGCTTGGTGCTGGATCCATGCAGTAGCACGGCGGGGATGTTGGAGCATCAGGAGCTTCTGCATCATGGCTGTCATGTACTGTTTGGACCCAGGGCAGAGCCTGAGCCGTGGGATACCTCTGGCAACGTGAAGTCCCACTTGCCAGCCTTGGAGCCAGGCAGGCTGAGGAGTGCTGTGCTGCAGGAAACTCCCCTTTAAGAGGAGTTGAGTGGCCTGAAGAATGCTGGAATTTTCTTGTTAAGAAAGAGCTGATCTGTCCCCTCACCACTGCTTAAAGACAGAATAGTAATAATAGATGCTAATAACTCCCACAGAGTCAAAAGACCTCCCCCCAAAGCCCTTCACTGCTTCCAATCTTTACCAGCTCTAACAACCCAGGCTCATTTCATTTCCTGAACGACGCAGACCCCCTGCCCACGTGGGTTCCATCAGTGTGGGGTGCCAGAGGGGGCTGCCAGACGGGCTGGGGGACAGGAGAAGGGCTGGAACTCCCTCAGTGCACAGCACAGCCCCTGCTGAGGTCACCAGGTCCCTGGCAGCTCGTGCAAGGGTTCAAACTTGACAAAACCGTGCTTGTTCTGCTGTCCAGCTCTGCCCTCAGAGCACCCCGTGGATGAACACTGAGTCTGTAGCCTCAGAGCTTGCAGGTTTGCTGAGTAAGCGAATGATTAACCACTAATGAACTTTCTTCCTGCTTGCATTAGTGTTTTCAGAAAATTTAAGCTCTGGATACAGTTTCCTGTTGGGTTTAAATAGATTTAAATTGAGGAAGCCTGACAGCATCTGGGCTTGAGTAGTGCAAAAAAGTATGTGTTGTTTCTTTACAGTTTTTCTTGGTTTGGGCTTTCTGTCTGTGGATGAACTTTTGAAGATGCCATCTTGACCATAGGAAAATAGTAATGTGACTGTTTCTTTTTCTCCCTCCTCTGTAGGCCTACGGACATGAGGTGGTTAAGAGTAGATGATGAGATGCCTCAACACGTTGTAGTGTCTGGTTCAAACCTTCTCATTAGTAACCTAAACAAAACAGATAATGGTACATACCGCTGTGAGGCTTCCAACGCGGTGGGGAAATCACATGCGGATTACATGCTGTTTGTATACGGTACGTGAGAAAAACCACCGTTCTTCTAGACTCGTTTACACGTAATTGCAACATGCCCTGCTCGGAAAGCTGTGACAGAACTTAACGTTTGCTCAATGCCAGATTTGCAGGCAGCTCCCGACGCTGTGCTGGGCTGGGGCAGGGGCTGGGAAGGCGCTGGGTGCTGCTGGGGCTCTCGCTGTGTGCATCGGGCACAGAGCCTGTCCCAGCTCTGGGCAGCTCCCACCCCGTGCTGCCAGGTGAAGCCTAAGGAAAAGCCAGAGCAGGGGCGTGGGGAGAACTGTGCAGTTCTCCTTGGACTTCTCAATGATTTCTTGTCCTTCTGGTAACGCCTCCTCCGGTGGCCTGAACAATGGTCTGAGGGGTTCTGAGCCTTTCGCTAGCGAGTTAACCAGCCAGCATCCCCAGATAATTACAAAACAGTAAATAAACTGGAGGAATGAGGTGCCTTCAGCCTGTCTGTGTGGCTGGGCAGACACTAAAACATGCCTCAGCATCTTTTAAAGCGCTGTTAAGTACCTGCTTTAATTCTTCCTTTCCTCTGCGTTACTTTGGCATTGCTGTGAGCCTCATGCTCCTGCCATGAGGTGTTGCATGGAATGGAGATTCAGGAGGGACTTCCAGACCGATCCCCCAGTTTAATGATGAGCTGTTCCTTGGGCTGCATATTTAAACTTTCTCTGTCAAGGGCGGTTGTGTGTGGCTGGGCCGAGTTCCTGGTGGGTCTTGGTCTTGTCTGACCTGAGCAATGCTGTGGTTCCACTCAGATGGGACAGAAACTCGGTTTGAAGTTTGTTCCATGCAGCAGCCGCCTGAAGCTCTGCAGTCTGAGCTCTCTGGCAGTTGCTCTGATCCAGTCAAAGAGTGGAGAACCTCTCATACCTCTCCAAAGAGTGATTTTAAGCCCAGTCTTTGGAACTCGCCTAAAGACTCAAGGTAGTGACAGCTCTGAGCTTATACACAGCTCATGTGCCCCATCATATAGGTAGTTGTTCTAGTGTCTCTCACTCCACAAGACTCTTAATTTACAAAATGAAGTCAGATAGGCATTTGTGATTGGTAATTTGCATGCTCACAGTATAAAAAACCCCACTTGTTTACATCACTGTTGAAAGAAACACCCAATGTGGCAGAGAGCAAAGCTGTTGGCATAGGACACAGGCAGTTCCCCACGAGATGGAGACGTGAAAGCTGCTGCCATAAAGCAGCTGTGGGGCAGGTATAGTTCTGTGTACCCATCCTGGGCCAAGGCAGGGCTGGGGGGACCTCCCCAGCATTACTGAGCTGAGGTTTAGAGCTCATGGGAGATCTCACATAGTTACTCTGCATTTTGGGTGTGAGCGAGAACAGACAGCGCAGGACTTCCTTGGGGTTGCTTCCTCTTGGGATTAAATCCCCAGGAGGAGACCCAGGATAGCATTACTTGGGAGGAGATGCAGGTTCCCAGGGGATGGAGACTGTGGGTTCCAGCTTAGGCATCTGGTAGATATGTTGCCCATGTAGAGGAGGGCTGCTCGTGGGCAGAGAAGGGTTTTACACACCCCATCCCCTCCAGTTCCTGCACGTTTGGGACCATCCTGCTGGGCTCTGCCACTCTGGACAGCACAAGGAATCCTTTTAACTCTTGATTTAAAAAGGAGAGGTCCAGAGTGGGGAGGGAGTGGTTGGGCTGTGGCCATCAGCTGAAACCTGGTCCCAAGCCCAGCTGGAGCTGCTGCTGAGGGGAAGTTGAGCATGGGGGTCTCACCCTGCTCAGTGGTGGAGCACTTGCACCTCTGACCCGTGGCTTCTTTCCCCACGAAATCAGGCAGTTCCCCAGCAGCACTGGGCTCTGTGTCTGTGCAGCCACGTCTCTGTGGGCACAGAGGGAGCCTTGGGGCAGGCTGTGCCTCGCTGGCCCTTCCAGGACAGCTGTGGCTGCTCATGCAGAGCTCCCAGGCCACGTCAGGGTGGGAGCTGGGGGCTGCAGACACGGAGCAGGGTCTGGCACTGCCCCAGGAGAGGCAGCATTCAGGCAGTCCCGTTGCAAGGGACATCTCTGCAGGTCCAGGGTTCGACGTGGCTTCAGCAGCTGAGCTGTGCCCAGCACCTCCCCAGCTGCCCACCTGGGATGGGGATGTGTAATCACACTGACACACACTGGACACATGCTCATTCCTCAAATTCATTTTATGTTTTTTGTCCCCGTGGGCGTGGGCAGATACATTGCTAGAAACTTCCAGCTCCATTAGCACTACAGCTTTTTTTTACTTTTTTTTCTTTTGTTTTGCTTTTATGGAGAAAGAGCCCACGGCACAGCCAGTCCAGGCTCAGTGTGAGTCTGGGGGCCCTTCCCCCAGTGCTGCTGTGCCTCAGCTGGGAGGGTCCCCACTGCTCCCAGCAGGTGTGTGGGTCAGGAGTGAGAGAGAAGCACAGGGGCTGGGATCCTTGGGATGCAGAGGAGAGGCAGCGACTGCTCATAGCACAGCGAACCATGAGGTGATGCTCCTTAACTCTTGGGAAGTTGGATGGAATATAATAATGGTGCAGTATATAATTAAAGTTCAGATATCTTAATTAGGGGATCCAAGGGAGCTTGCTCAGAGATAAAAGAGTAGCAGATGTGTTAGTGAGGAACAGTTGACGTGCTACGGAGGAAACCTAAAATCAAAAGCCCATGAAAGGTTTCGTGCTCTATTATTGCCGAATGAATCCGTAGTTCAAAGTCTTTCTGACTACTTAGTGCATTCAGTTTGATCATCTGGGCATTGATACATGTTTTTTCTTTTACATCTTCTCATATCTACCTTCTCCTGCCCGATAGTTTTGATAAGGATGTGTCCCTGTGTGTAACATCAATCCCGTGACGAGCAGCAGGGTTTGAATCTCAACAGGTCCAGTCCATCTGAGAAATGGTCACAGAGAGAAACATCTCATTAACGATGCCCTAGTAGCAAAAACAAGCGTGTGCAACTGAAACTGTCAGAAAAAATATTGACTTTTTTTTTAATGGAAAGATCTTGGTGGAATTCCTCATACCTGGAAATTGCTATTCAGCAATGTGTTGTTCCTTTCTCTGTATCCCTTGCCGTCTTTGAAGTAGTTTTTAACATCCTGCTGCCGTGTGTTCATAGAGGAAGAGCAGTGAGGTTCACGGCCCTGGGAAGACAGTAAAATCTGCTCGTGTGCTGTTAATGTTCAGGCTGTGAAGCACAGCAGGGCCTCTCACACAGCCCTCCCACCTGGGTTTGCAAATGTATCCGTAGACAACCACCAAAGCACCACCGTGTCTCCTTGTATGTGCAAACTGGTCTTTTTGTTGTGGAAAGCGTGCAGTTTATTTTCCTTATGCCTCTCCCATTCCATTTCTCTCTCTCATTGACTAATTTATGCTGGGTTTTGTTTATTTTTTTTAGCATTGTAGAAGGCAGAAGGTGGGGAGAGGTTGGGGCCAGGTTCTCCAGCCTGGGTAAGCGTGGGCGGAGGATCTGGCCCCGCTGTCCCTGCTGGGCTCCCCCCTGGGATTTAGCCAAGGAAGGGTTCCCATCCCCACGCTGCTTCTTAGCATCCTTGTTTTCCTCTGATCACGATTGACCGCTGTTGTGTTCTGCTTGGTTTTTTTCTTAATTTGCTTTTTTATTATTTTCCTTTTTATATTTTATCCAGATCCCCCCACAACTATCCCTCCTCCCACAACAACCACCACCACTACCACCACCATCCCTACCACCATCACAGGTATGGTACCTTCATAACCATTGGAAATGTCCTGAATGTTTATTGTCTTTTATGTGTATAAGCAGAGCATGAAGCCTGGGGAAAAACAACAAACCAGTCGCTTGCAGTATTTTTTTTTTTCCCTCAAATACGCCCACCCACAGCACGAGCCCTGGCGTGCCAGACAGTCCTTGCTGTGGGTGTGGGTGTTCCTGAAATGTGGGAATTGTCATGGCAGGAAAAGTGATTAATTCAGTTACTGGTGGCCAGCACTGGGTACTTCAAATGCAGGATTCCAAAAGCCTTAGAGCTCCCTTAGCACAGGCAGTCATTTCAGCCTCCATCCCGTCAGTATCAGTTTCTGAGCAATTTATAGAAAGTTTGGTCTTGGGCAGTTCAATTCACCTGATGTGACTCCAGATGCTTTTTCTCGTGCCAAAATGTTGGTATTTCTCTGTGATAAGCTCCTCCCTCACTCTCCCAGAAAAGGGAATTCCACCAGTCATTTTTATTGTGTGAATGCCATCCATAGGCCCCTTCTTGAGGAGCTGCCTTTCAGCTTGTGAGATTTTCTGTGTCTTGCAAGAAAAGATGAATAAAAACAACCAGCAAGATCATGACACCTCTCTGACACATCCTCATACCTCGTCACAGACCTGACTCATCAGGAAAACCCTTCTGATTTATTTGTAACCATTCACATTGTCATTTCTCTGACCTTTCCTCTTCCAACCGCTGCTTTTGCTTTTGCTTGCTGCTTTTTGTGGGTTTTGGTTTGGTTTTTTTTCATTTGAGGCAGAGGTGACAAACGGCAGGTGAGGATGGACCATTGAATAGCTAATGGCACAACGTTTACTGTTGCTGTAAACCACCCCTTGTGTAAATGCCTTCACGTTTTATTTGCTTTTATGACGCTGCTCGGCTGACTCTCACCACCCTGCCCAGGGCGTTTCGTGGCTTCTTTTCCTTTCGAGGTTTTTGCACCCAAGCCAGGCCCAGCTGGCACGGAGACGCCGGTGAAGCCTCTCTCCCAAGGTGCCCTAACACGGCCAGCACCGCCCTGGCTGTCCTCACCACGCTCTGCTTCCTCCCTGCAGGTGCCCGCCAGCCACCCCAGCTCCAGGCACCCAGCCCGGGGTGCTTGCCATTTGGTGATGGGCTCTCCCTTTTCCCAGTTTTGGATTTCTAGACTTAACCCGCTTTTGTTTCAGAGGAGGTTTGAAGCTTTCTCAAAGCCTCCCTGAGAGCTGTTGGCGGAGGAGCTCGGCCGTGTGTCCCACAGGCTGTACCTGGACGCGCTCACAGGTTTCTTTCTTTGACGGTAATTGCTCGTGCTTTCAGTGAATTTTGGAAGGCTAAATGGAACAATGTGTCTTGATGCTTGGATAACCCCTTCAGTTAATCTTGGTGCCTGCAAACCTTAATGAGTGTCCTTTTTCTGGGAACTGGGTTGTTATCAGCCTGTCATTTCGGGGATTGCCCCAGCACTGCCTTCCAAAGCCTGTGCTGTCCTCGCTTGTCCTCACGTGCTGTGTCAGGTTCCACAGCAGTGCTTGGTTCTTCCCAATAAACAGCAGTTTGGTTGGTTGCTGTCCTGCTGCAAGTGCTGTGGCTTGGCTGTGGATGCTCAGTAGCCTTTGGGATTTCCTTCACATAGCTTTCCAGGTTTTTTATATTAAAAATAAGAAGGGGAAAGAGATGGTTCTTGCAGTTGGAAATGGCCGTGTCATCAGCCTGGCAGAGGTCCCTTGGGGTAAGGAGCACGTGGCTGTCCAACATTGTTCTTTCACCTTGGTTTGCAGTGCTGGAGGATCCCAGACTGTGGTGGCAGAACCCAATGGGTCTCCATTGCCTTCTTGATGCTTTTCTGTGTTGCCTTTGAACTGCTGAGGAGGCTGGAAAAGTGATGATGTGATATTGCTCCCTGATTCCAGCAGTTCCTGCTCGCCATTTGTCGGAAGAAGACTTACTAACGCTGATAAGGAAAATTATTATTTTCTTCCCTGGCACTGAGTCTTCTTGACATGTGTCTTACCATCCTCTGCCCATGAGTTCAGTGTGCTTTTCCCACCCAGAGCAGCTGAGGCTTCTCCTCCCTCTGTCCTGCAGAGATGTGTGTGTGTGTCCTCTCCAGTCAGTGCTCAGGAGCGTGGAGCCACACCAACTTCTGCCCTTCAGTAGTTAAGAGACTTTGTGGCTGGAAGAAATTAGGTCATATTAACATAATCTCTAGAATTACATGACAGAGTAGTGTTGGAACACTTTTCAAAGCCTTGAGAGACACCTGATACCTTAATTCCCATCCTCACCCAAATGCTCCAGCGTTCTTCCCGTCTGACAGAGGAGAGGTGGGAGACAGCAGGGTGTTCTCTGAGCTGCTGGCAGTCCAGGCATCTGGAGCCAGCCCAGTGGAATCCAATACTTAGGATGAGGTGGGTTTGAAATCTGCTTTGTTTTGCTTTTCTCCCCCTACTTTTAGTATAACCCTGACATAGTTCGTGTCCCCTGGAACCATGGAGTAGTTCTGAAAAACAATTGTCTTGCTTTAATTGAATAAAACATGGGGAAAGAGGCTGCACTGAAGCAGTTTCTAGCAGGTGACCCTAGAAAATTCTGCCCTTGGAATTGTCCTTTTGATTTATTGGTTCAGGGAGTTTCTGGGGGAGCTCTTGGAAAGCTGACCTGATGCATTCTCCAGTGAAGGACAAGCTGAGCAGTGAAGTTTCCAGACACCACAACCTTTAGAGCTTTCCCTCTGTCACTTTAGTGTAGGTGCTTGAAAAGATTTCCTGCGTGACAGCTTGATCTTTTCCACGTATCCTCCAGCAACATTGATATTCCGGCCATCCTTTGGTGTTCCAGCCGTTATCACTGCCGAGCCCTTTGTTATCAGTTAAATTGTCCTTGTGGCTTTCTTCATTAAGATGTACAATACGATACAGCAGAGCAAACAGCACTGTTTGAATTACCCTGGAGTCACTCCTGGAAATGCTGGGCTCGGGCAGCTCTTGTTTCCTGGGAAATAAAGGTCCTTAATCACAGCCCAGCCCTCATCTCAGGCTCACCTGCCTGTCCCAGCCTCCCCACAGCTGCCTGGCACACCCTCCTCCCAGGACCCACTCGTCATTCATAGGTGCACATTTGCGTTTCCCAGGCTTTCTCCACAGGTGGAATTGCACGGGTGTCTTGGCAGCGCTTTTGGTGAAGACCTGGGGGTGACACGTGCAGGTTGCCAGTGCTGCCAGCCCTGCACTGCTCACCATCCTTTGCATCAGCACCAGCAGCAGGCTGGGGGCTCCTGATGTCCCCCCTGGAATACCCATTTAGAGCATATTTTAAATCCCACTGATCCCTTGGAGTAGCAGGTGTGGGTGTGTATTTCAGGGGGCTGTAACATTGCAGGCTGTGGTTTTCACTTCAGAATTCCCAGAGGTGCTCCAGCCCCTTCAGTGAATGCATGTGGAAAGCACCAAGCCCACCCTGTGGAACCAGCTCTGAGTTCCTTCCTGAGGCTCAGGATTTGTACCAGCAGGAGCAAGCTCTCTTTGGCTAGGAGGTGTGCAGTGAGTTCCAAATTAGAGCTGAGAATTTATGCTGAGTTGGAGTATCAGCTCTTGAGCAGGGGCACATGGTGGTGGAACTCCTGTCACCCACAGGGGCAGGCACTTTCTCCTGAGAAAGTTGGAGTATCAGCTCTTGAGCAGGGGCACATGGTGGTGGAACTCTCCTGTCACCCACAGTGGCACACCTTTGTGTCATCCCAGGTGCTTTAAAAATAATAGCACGTGGAAATGTGGACTCTGTGACCAAAAACAAGTTGCAGGTTTTCAGAGCATTTCACATGTCGAAAAACCTCCTCAAAACAAGAAAAATTATTTTATCCTCAGCAGGAGTTTGTCCTTTCCACAGCCTGGGGTGTGAAAAGCTGCAGTTGCAGGGGGTTTATCCCAGCAGTAATCCCAGTGGCTGGTGGGCAGGAAGAATGCAGTCCCAGTCATGCTCCTGTCAGATTTCCTTGCAGTGTGTTTGTGGGAGGCAGCGTGGGGATGACTGAAGCACCGCGTCCTGTCAGGGGCGCGGCGTCGGCTCAGGTGCGGCCACTTCTGCTGGGGCTGCTGCAGCTGCTGACCTCGCTGTGGAATTAATTGTACAAACACATTTACTGCCCAGCCAGCTCAGAGTGCTCAGCTTCAGCTCGGCTGGCTGGACTCTCTCACAGTCTCTGGCCTTTCCGGGGATGTGGAGATGCCCACATGGAGATGCCAGCGGGAGAGGAGCGTCAGCAGGAGCAGGAGAGCTCCCGGTTTGCTCGGCATTCCCAGGCTGGTGTTGAGCTGTGGCATGTTCCTGTGCCTAGTGCCACTGCAGGGACGCAGCCCAGGGATTTGTTCCCCCAAATTATTTATTATTTAACTTCTGCTTTCCGCTGAAGGTTCTGCTTGTCCCTGGTAAAATGTCAAGTTAATTTAAAGATGATTCTTCGCCTTTCTGACATTTTCATCCAGGATGTGTCTGCATTAAAGGGGCTAAAGGCAGAGCTGAGAGGCCTGGGACAGGAAATAAAATGAAATAAAATTCAGTCTTTCGGTCCCATGTCCAGCCAGTAGCAGGCAGGACCTGTCATGTGTGGCCTTGCTTTTGGTGACACAGCATGAGCAGTGCACAAACCATCATCTTGCTGAGCAGAAGCGTGGGTTGTGTGCTAGCTTGGGCTTGAAATCAAACCCAAATCCTCTCAAATCTGTATGGAGAAACATGCAAAAGCATGGCTGGAGCCACTGTGGTAATTTCAGGCTATTTTTGTTCTGGTCACACACAACATCCATAGAGATTGTGATGATTTTTGTGAAACATCTGGTCTGCTAACCAAGCTGTCCCCGGGGCCCATTGCAGCACGCCTGGACCGGGGCACTCAGTGCCAACCTGCAGTGCTGTACAGAGCAGATCGGGGGCTCAGGAGTGCAAAGAACATCTCCATCCATCCTTGGAGGAACGTGTGGTGAGGGAGAGGATGGCTGAGCTGAGGGAGAGGATGGTGGGCCGCTGCACTCTGGTGTTTGAGCCGTGTCACCCCTCAGCTCAGGCATTGCTAGGGGATGTGACATCTGTGCTGGTGTCCCACAGAAGCTTCATCCAGGGAAAGGTTTTGTAGGCCTTTTCATCAGCCCCAAGGACCAGAACCAAAGCAGGGGTCCGTTTGCAGTGCTGCATGCTGTTCCCCCAGGCTGCTGCGAAGGCAGCGAGGTGCAGGAATTCACACTCGCGCCGGTCAGTACACGTGAAGTAGTCTGGAAAATCGGGAAGAATAAGAGCTCCACGCATCAGGGATCAGATTGGCTTTTGGTTTCAGTTCAGAAAGCAATTTTAAAAGCAATATATTGAATGGGTATCTATACTTGCTAAAGCCTCTTTAAATTTAAAAGGCAGCAGCGTGTTTTGCCGTTATTTTGTGGATGTGCTGCTGTAATTCTGTGTGTGCTCCTCAGCCCCAGCACCGAGTACCTCTGCGAGGCTGCAGCACTGCAGCTGCAGCATTCAACTAGGGGAATTTAATTTTGCTGCTGGGGTTTTAATATTCCTCCATCGTGCTTGTTCTGTTTGAGGCTGTGGACTAATTACGGCCAAGTTTAAAGGGCCTGGTCTGTCACACTCTGCAAACAGTTTGAAGTTGGAGAGAATCCATTTGAGAAAACGAGGAGGCTCAGCAGTGGAGCTCATAACTCTGAGAAATGTTGCCCAGCTGCCTCCATGCAGTGATTTTATAAATACGTGTGTGTATATGTGTGTGTGCCCTTGCGTAGCTGCCTAATGGGGTGGTAAGTGCCTAGAGCTTGGGTGTCATCTGAGTTGTCCTAGATGGCAGATATTTATTTCTCACAGCCAGTGCTACACAGAAATCCCAATAAAGTGGAATTTGCAGCTTTGTAGAGGCCAGTGGTAACTCCTTTGGGTACCTTCTGTAACTATAAACCAGGCCTCTGAGGAGCTTTTGTACACAAAGATTTTGGAAGGCCTTAACATTGTTCTGCTTTTTCTGAGCAGCATGTTTAGTTCTCTTCCTGATTGACATTGGGAAGAGAAGCCTTGATGCTAAGATAGAAAATCTGATGTTGAGTTGAGTCTGTTTGGTTGTGTGATTTCTATATCCTCTTGGCTTTGCTGCACCTGGTAAACCAGCCCCTTCATCACCAGCTCTCCATTTTAAATTATACCTCTCAGCCTTGGGTGATCGTGTAGCATGTTGATGGCTCTTGGCTTTGCTGCACCTGGTAAACCAGCCCCTTCATCACCAGCTCTCCATTTTAAATGATACCTATCAGCCTCGGGTTGATGGCGTAGGACGCTTTTTTGTGATGGCAGAGCCTTTCCTTGGCTTTGGTCAACATTAGTTAAGTCAGGAGTGTATCAAAGACTTCTTGTTGGTCAGCATTTGAGGAGAAGAGATGGTTTTTATTGCAGGACATGGGGCAGAAGGCTGATCCCTGGGGTGCTGTGCCTGCTCTGGCACGGAAGTGTGGCTGTTCTTGAAAGCAAAGCAGAAGCTGGTAGCACAAACCCAGAACTCAGAAAAGCACCTTTGAAGTTAGCCAGTCCAGCCTAAAGTTCCGTGTTGTGTGAGCAGCAGCATGGCAGGGCTGGGATGTCCCTTCCCGGGTGAGGAGTGGCAGAGGCAGGGCAGGACACACATGGATGTACAGGAATGCACTGATTTGGTACCAAAGCACCAGTGACTGTTTTCTCTGTGCCACGTGATGCTGTAGAAGCACTCCAGTGTCAGCACGTTCATGTCCTGCACACGGGGCCGTTCCGGTGCGTGCAGTCCTTCTTCCCAAAGAAGACTGGGACTGGACAGGACTCCCCGAGAGCTCACTCTAAACTTTAACCGGTCTGTGTTTCCTATTGCAACCATCCAAACCATTTGCTAATCATAACTTTGTCATTCCAGCTGCAGCCAACATGTTGTTTGATGTGGATATTTGTTCGCACTTACAACCGCTTGAGAACTTTATTTTGTGTAACCTGTCGGTCTCTGTCCCCGGACGGGGAAGCGAGATGCACTGTCCAGTTTGCACTGTTTCTTGACTAATAATCTCTTCCAGCACATCAATACAAGTTTGCTTCCAGCAGATTCTCTATTTATTGTAAAAGCTGACATAACTTTTTTTATTTCAGGAAGACAGTAAATTGAGACTATTTATAGATGCCAAGATGCTAACTCAGGAATTAATACTCAGTTTTACAACCCCTTCTAAACAATGGCTTTCCCCCCACCTCCACCACCATTTCCCCTTCCACCATTTGCTTGGTTAAAACAAATGGGGATTGCTACCCAAAACCAAAGCAAAGCCCTGCTCTTGGTCTCCTCGTGGCTTTGGAAGGTGTCCCCTGCAGCCCCCAGAGATCCCGCAGGAGAACAAGGGCTGGCCTCCTTGAGGGTGCCTTAGATTTGGTTGCCAAGATGAGAACAGCCTACATTGGCAGTGGAAACAGGCTAATGATGGCTTGATAATCTGTTATGCAAATCTTGGTGCAGTTTGTTAAACTGTGCAGGGTTTATTTGTTTTGCTTCCATAATTAAAGCATGTAGACCTTGTATCTGTAAGTATTGTGTATTCCTTGTATGATCCTTGTCTTTGCTGCTGCTTCAGGAATTCAGCCCTGGGCTGTCCTCAGCTAAATTGCCAAGAAACAGGTCCTCTTTTTCCCACTGCTGCCTCTGCCCGTGCAGGGGCCTTGTCCCCGGGTTGTCTGCCAGCATGTCAGCGAGGGGAAACGCCGCTGTGAATTGTCTGTCGTTGCTGCAAAACCCAAGCTCCGGGCTGCTGTGCAGGACACGCGGTGCAGCGCTGCTCACCACGCTGTTGCTCACTCAAACACTGCCTGCCTCCAGCCAGGCAGAGCCCTTGGCTCCAGGGATTTATTCCAGTGACACGTTCTGGGGAGCCTGCCCGCTCCAGCCACTGACCCCTGCCACAGAATACCTGCCTCCAAATGGAAAGTAAACGGCCTCCAACGACTAAATAAGCCCGTAAATTGGGTAATGTGGTTACATTTGGGTTAGACCTGTTGGTGGAAATAACTGTCAGTAAAAGCCTTCAGATTTGGTCAGTCTTTTAAAACTGCCTGTTGCAAACTCCTGGAAGAGACAAAGCATCTCTCCTTTGGCACGGCAGTGCCCCCCAAGAAATTTCCAGTGTGATGTAGTCCACACGGAGTAGAGTCAGCTTCAGACTAACCAGCAAAAAAACATCCAGGATATTTTAATTACCCATTGCTGTTCAGCCAGCAGAGGGTCTGGTGATGTTTGTCCACTGTTGCCAGTTCTAGAACCCCTTTTTTGCTGACAAAAATGGTTCATCATGCAGGTGATGGCTGGGAAGCTGGAGGAGAGGCAGGAGCAGGCTGTTCCCTGGCCATGGTGCTCTGATGAGGCAGTGTTTGAGTGTGTAACAGCGACGTGCCGAGCCTCAGCTCTTCATCCTGCTCTGGAGCTTCTGTTTTGTCCCCACCAACCAAACCGTTGGTGTCGGTGTTCTCTCCTGTCTCCTGTTCCCCTAACTTTGCAACCACCAGTAATTGTTCTGGCAAGGACCTGGAAAAAGAGAAAAATTTACTGTTTTCCTCAGGCTCATAGCTTTTGAACTGGAGGCATGTCTTCTAAACAGTGCAACTCACTTCAAATGCTTTTTGCCTTTCATTTTATTATTGCTTGTCACGCAATGTTCTTTGAAAGCTTGCTCATATATTATCTGTTCCATTTTTTCCATTTTCCCTTTTTTTGCATGCTGTTCCTCCTGTTTCTTCCCTTCCTCCAATCCTCTGTTCCCGTGTGTAGACACAACGGCGACGACAGAACCGGCAGTTCACGGTTGGTATCACATTCCTGTTTATCTTATTTCTCAGCGCTGCTGAGTGGCAAGACAAGCCTGGGAAGGGGAGGCCAAAAAGGGAACTGGAGTCTTCAAGGGAAAACTGTGTTTCGGGTGGACTCATCTCATAAATACAACATGGGTTCTAAGGCTGGAAAGTCTGTCTGCTCTTGTCATTTCTGCTGTGAGCTCCCCAGGTGATCATCCTGGTGCCAGGCAAGCACAAGCCCCGTGGAAGTGGCATCCAGGTCCAAGCAATGCCAATTGGTTCTCCACCCATTGACTAAGAGAGTCACTTTACACATGAAAAAGATATAATTTTTTTTTCTTTTAGATTTTTGAGCATTTTTCTCGCATTTTGAGTTAGTTTTTAAGAGAGGGTATCCAGCGGCTCTGCTGGCGTAGGGCAGCACTGGGGATTCTGGGATGCTCCGCAGAGGAGCGCTCGCCTCCAAGGTCGGCAGGGAAGTTTGCGTTATTACACTGCAGAAGGAGATTGGGAAAACAAATAGCAACACTTTCCTCTCAGCATAGCAGTCTAGCAAAGTAACCCTTCTCGTCTGCTCGAGGCAGTCTAGCTAACAGCTTGACAGCTTCCTGAGCTTCCTGCATTCCCCGGCGAGCCTACGTACGCGCTGCAGGCTGGAAGTTGAGCATCCCGTTTTTTTGGCACAAGCTTACTTTTCAGCTGAAGAACCAAAACCTCTGACAATTTTTAATTACAGCTAATCCACGTTGGACTTTGCTGTTCTAGTTTCTTTTGACTCCGATAAATTGACATGATTTTTTTTTACTGACAGAAATCCCTCGCACAGAGCTGCTGCCTGCTCCCCTTGAGGCGTCTTTCCTTATTTTTCTTTTGTTCTGAGGATGCCATAAAAAGCCTGTTCTCAACTTGAGGACTTCTCCCCTCCATGGGGAGGATCACTGCCAGGGAGGTGGCCAGCTGAAATGACAACCTATCCCAGTCAAACGAGCTGCCACAAACTTTCCTGCCTTAAAACCAGCCAGTTTGTTCTGAATTCCCCCCTGCTTGCCCTTGTGGGGTGCTTTTCCCGTGAAGACTCTGGATTTCTTTCCAAGCTTGTGTTGCTGGAGTGTGTATGGAGTATACCAGGTGTTTCTGTATGTTGGCCATTTGTTCTTTCTGATGTCCGATGGGAGTGAGCATGTCTGTGAATGACTAGAAATGCATGGGCATGAATACAGCCAAATGGATTTTCTCCAAAAACAATTTAAAATGAATTGGGGGAAGAAAAAAGAAAATAAACCAACCAACCAAAAAAAAAAACCACCAAAAAAAAAAAAAAAAAAAAAAAAAAAAGACCAAAAGAAAAAAAAACCAACCCAAAAAAGAGCTTGCTAGCAAAGAAAATGGAATGTAAGGCCAGTGTGGAGCCAGCACAATGCTTCAATCGGGGAAGGAGGGTTTTGAGCCATTTAAAGTTTTGGAGTGTATCCTAGAGGACTGGGGGGAAGGAGTCCTGTGTGTGTGTGCATGTCCCAGCAGTAGCCAAGGCCCTGCCATTCCTGTTCCCTCACGGAATGGAGTTGACGGCAGCGATGCATGAGTGACCTAACGCACGAACGTTGTTAACTCTTTTGTTGAAAAATGAGAGCTTAACTGTGAATTTTCTGATGCACTTTCTCCTTTCTCTGCACTGTTCATTGCCAGAGCTCCAATAACAGCATGGTCATGGCCGGCAGGAAGGCTTGTGCTTCCGCTGCACCCCACGAAGCTGGGGTTCCCCAGCTTCAGCCCTCCTCCCTCTCGGTGTGCCCCCGTGGGGTCAGGGTGCCCGTGGGGCTGAAATCACAGGTCCCACTGTTTGAACTGGAATATGGGCAGAACTCAGTGGAGCCAGGAGTGTAACAACCTGGAGTGTCTGCGCCACTCAGTCTGGGGAAAAAGCGCTTTTTCTGCCACGCCCTTTCAGTTTTCCTCCCTGCCCCTCTCCCTGCCATAATCAATGTACCAGTTTTTGATGTCCTGGCCCCTGTTGCCCCTGGGTGACCAGAGAGCTCAGCCCTCACAAGGTGCTAGCCTTCGTGGAGCCCCTCAGGTGAGATGCCCGGCTCCTGTTTGCCCCTGATACAAGCAGAACATCTCTAAGCAGCCATGCCCTTGGACACACTGCCCTTGTGTCCATTTTTTTCCAAATTCTGCCCTTAGCCTGTTGTAAGCAGAGAGCTCTAAATGCTCAGAGTGATCCCCAGGATGTGGGTTCTGTCCACACAGGGCATTGTGCTTCAGGCCCTGTCCACCCCTCTGCCTGCCCAGCAATGGGGGGCTCAGGGCTGCTCCCCACTCCCCCGGCCAGGCAGGAACCAGGCAATGCTGCCTCAGCACAGGCAGAATTTCTGCTGATTCCCATGGAAAGGTAGGATTCTGAGCCATTTGGAAAAGCCTTCTCTAAAGCTGGCAAAGCAAGAAGCCTGGAGTGAAGGTTCAAATAAGGAAAACACCCCAGTCACAAATGAAGAGTGATAAGAAAATACTTGGCCCATAATGCAGCAGGTAAATTATTTTACAGGCTGGAAACCCTTCCCTGAAGGCCTGTGTGGGTTTTTAATTGTGGCCTTAGCAGGTTTGGTACAAGAATAGGTAACACTGTTGTGTTACGCTCTTGTTCCTTTTCCTGATAGCGCTCAGCCCCTGAGAATGAGTTTTGCTTGGCTGAAGCCAAAGCCCGGCTGCACCAGAGTGCCGGCCACTCGTGCGTCCTGCCCGGTGCCACAGACAAGGGCTTTCTACACTGCCATCCCCAAGCAGCTCTGCTAGCCCAGCTGCCTCCTTCCCTCTTGGAAATGCCCTACTTAAACGTGCAGCTAATAGAGAATCCGTTCCTCAGTCTGTTTTACAGCTGCCATCCTTGGGGCGGTTGAATAAAACATCACAGCGCTGCGGGTCTGCGCGGCGCCGCCGCGCGCGGCATGAAACGGAATCCCTAATTGCTTATTTAGAGCCTGAGATGGGAGAGAAATTGGCTTTTCCTGAAAAACTGGATCTAGCGTGGGAGCCCACAGAAACCTAAATATACCCGGGGTGCCTGGTCCTTGTGTGAGCACCTTGTTGTGCTCACCGTGCCGGCTCTGCCTTCCGGGGATTTATCATTTCCAGGGAAGTGGAGCAGAGTGAAAAGTTCCCTTTCATTTCTCTGACAGGAGCAGTGGCAGACTTTGAGTTCATCCCCTCAGAAGTGAAAAGAAGGGGCTTTAGTGGCCAGTATGAAAGTTTAATGAGAAAAATCAAGAAGTAATTTACCATCTATTTAAATGCCTCACAACAGGTTTTAACACTGGCCAGTGGCATTTGTGAGTGTCCCAGGTGCAGGGAGAAATGGAATTGTGGAATTGTTGCAAATTTTAGTCTGAAAAGGATTTTTTTTTTCCTTCATAAAAAATGCAACATTGCCCTTTTTCATCAGCGAGAAAATGTAGTTCCTTAAAAGGGAACTCTCTACAGAAGCAATTTTGGAGAGAGAAAAGTTGAAAGGCTCCTCTGCCAAGTGCAGCTTTGCATGGCCAATGGTTCTGTGAGTCAACTGTTGTATTTATAGATCATTTATAGGAAAAAGGCTCCTGAAAATCTGAAAAGGACTCCCTGAAACCCAAGAGTGGCACACAAGCATATTTCCTGCTATTAATCTAAATGGCTTGCCACTTCAGGAGGTAATACCAACGTAGCTTCCTGGTGATTTGATGTATTTAAAAACCATTTACTGAAAATGAGTTTCATTTTTAAAGGGCAGTGTGTATATAAAAATACTCATATTGCTGCTCTGCAGTGGGGCCAAGTCTGCACATTGACCATACTGCACTCACAGCCTGGCTATTTAACAGAGTCAGCTCTGGTGGCAGTCCATGAGCTGCCAATCCCAGGTTCCCCAGTGCCCAGGGATGCGGGATCTCTTCATGGGAATTTTTTTTTCTTTGCTTATGCATTTGCTTTTAGTGGCCAGCAGCAAGAGTGAGTCCTGGCAGTGGCAGCCCAACATTGTCCCACCCCACGTTTCAGTAAGTCGGGGTGGCCTCCCGGCGCTGGTTTGCCCTGTCGCTGGTGCTGGGATGTCCACCCCTGGAGATGCTCTGCCTGCAGACCCCAGCACTTCCTCAGACTCCCAAACCAAGCAGCACTAATGCCCTCACAGACAGCGCTGGCTGCCTGATTGCTTTATAGCTCTGAGGACAGATGCTTTTCCCGTAAATCCATCACATTTGGGCAAATGAAAAAAAGCCGGTTTGTCCGATAGTTTGGCAGAGGACGCAGCCCGCAGCCTGCAAACAGGCCATGACATGCACTGCACAAGATTCATATTTTGTCATTGGTAAATGTCCTGACTTGTCACCATGACCAAAACTAATTGGACTGGTTGCAAAATTGGAGGCAAGTTTTCCATTGCTCTCTGTGTGCAGGACTGAAATCAGCCTGGACTAAATTGGGAAATTGTCCCCGTGACGGCCGAAAGGCAGAGTCTGGGGGCTCTGCATGCTGTTATGAGTGGTCTCAATACCATGTTTCGTGTGCCAACAGTGTAGAGCGAGGAGCATTTCTGTCTGTAATAAAGGCCACGATTGCACTGGTGTCACACGATGGCTCTGCCCGCACCGGCAGACGGTGGCAAGTGACTGACGCATTCTCTTTTTCCCCCTCAAGAAATTCATCCTCAGTTCTTAAGTGTGTTGTTTATTGTCGCTTGAGAAACGCAGAGAAAAACGAGTCTGTTTTTACTTGTAAGGCTTTACTCAGTTGCCCAATTCGGCCGAGGAGCTGGACTATGGGGATCTCTCAGGTAAGGGCTAGCCCGTAGGTAACCCGCTGCTCTCCTTCGCTAGACACTGGTTCCACTCTGATTCCTGCATCCTGGCCATGTTGCATTGTGCAGTTGCTATGGTGCAGCCATTCCCCCCATGCTCTTGCAGCTTGGAAGCGCGCTCCTTTCTGTTGGGGTTCTCCTCCCTTTTTTTTTTATTATTATTTATTTTTTTTATTTTGGCACCCATTTCTGTGTGGCATCCTCAGGGCAGGAGGTGCAGGGCACCGAGGCTGACCATTGTGGTTCCCTCCTGGCTGGGATTTTTTGAACACTGAATTGGAGACCGGTTGAGTTGAATCTTTGTTTGTAAAACACTTGACTCTGCCTTGTTGTGTGAAACCCCCCATAAAAGAGGTGGCCAGCACTAACCCTTGGCTGCTCGGGGATTCCTCATCACACCAACATCAGATTGGCAGTAAAAAGGAGCTGGTTGTTTCATCAGTAAGGCCAAACCAAGTAAATGGTTCAAGCCTCTCTTTATCCACACTGGACTGAAAGGGCCATAAATGCATCCTCGTAGCTGGTCCTTGCCAATTAGTGCTAATTGAGATTAAAGCATAACAGCATCTTCAGTGGATGCAGTTGGCGCATTCAGAGCAGAGCCTGTACCAGTGGTACAAACCTAAATCGTTGTTTTTCATGTTTTCTTATAGAAATGCACCTGTATTTTTTTTGGTCCCCCCCTCCCTTGCAGAGCATCCCTGCAGACTCCTGGTACCTGCCGGGCTCTGTGGCTGCATCCAGCCACTCCAGGTGCACAGTCCTGGCCATAGGGCAGGAGCAGCCATTTGTCCCCCTGGAAGAGCCCAGCCCAGGGGGTTGGAGCCCAGTGCTGTTCCTCTCAGGGGTTCAGCATGGAGCAAAAAAAATACACCAAAAAACCCCTGAGTCCTCATCTTATTCCATCAAATGGTTCCCTCTCACCCAATCAAATCAGGAACGTCTCATCCCATAAGCCACTACAGGTGTGCTGTGGCCAAGAGGTCAGAAATGATGGATTCATTCTGGATGTTTTCTAACACTGAGCAATGCTAACAATTATTATTGCAGGCCTGGGACAGATCCCATAGGTAAGATGCACCAGGGTTCTGGTGAACGTCCCTGAGTGGATGGGGGAAATTGTTTTGCTCTAAGTTCTTTTACTTTTTAAAGTTCTATTTTTAAAGGAAAAATACACCTTTTGGTGAATGAAGAGAAGAAACTGAAAAAATTCCTCAAAGGAATTGCCCAGAATGGGTTTTGCTCCCCAGTCTGTGCTGCCCAGAGGGGCTCACACCTTTCCCAGAGCACACAGCTCAGTGTAGTCCTTTTTCTGAGTCTGGAATGGAAGCCAAAATTTCCCCCACCTCTACAGAACACAGCTCAGGCAGAGCCACTGCCCACAGTGAGCACCTGTCATGTGCTGCCCAGCAGCCTTTTTGGAGCATCTGGTTGGGCTACTGATTTTTTCCCTAAGAATTTCAAAATTTTGCTTGTTGCTCTTTAGGTTACTCCTGCCTGCCCAAAGGGTGACCATTCCTGGTCGGGTGTGGTCAGGATCATACTGGGTCAGGTATGGGGGAGGCACTAGAGAGAGCCCCAGCCCCTTCTCTGCTACAGACAGAGTGGTCTCTGCCCCGTGGCTTCAGGAGACTGAAGCCAGGTCATGTTTTTGGCCCGGGGTCAGCACGTGGGTGGTTCAGGTGAGTGCTGGAGTTGAGCTCCGTGGGGAACGCCGCCCTCCGCTCCAGCCAGAGCCCTGGGAGCCCTGGGCACCACCCTGAGGGATGCAGGGCACCAGCCCACCCCCACAGGAGACCCTGGCGTGGCGGGCGTGGGGGTGCTGCCGTGTTTGCTCAGTGTGCTGTTCCTTCCAGGTACATCTGTCCCACCCACAGCTTCAACCGAGGCTCTGCCGACTGTGCAATTAAGTAACGCATCCCTTGCCTCCCGCCCAGGTAGCCCGAGCCCAGAGCCGCGCTCGCTCCGACCGGCCGAGCTCTGTGTGTCCGTGCCTCTCGCAATCCTCCTCTTGTTCCTCACGTCCTGAGCCCTGAGGGTACGGAGAGGGCTGGCCTGGCACCTCTCAGTTCCTCATTGCAGCCTGGCACAGACCGGCAGGCAGGGTTCCTGCAGCGCCGGGCAAACCTGAGCGTGCGTGTGTGTGTGTGTTGTGCACTCCTGTGCACGCGTGTGCACACACACAGACACTGCCACGGGCCCCGGCACGGCGCTCCAGGGACTCCCCGAGCTCTCCAGGCTCTGCTGCAGAGCATCAGCACCTCCTGTGAAACAGGGAACCAAAACCAGTCAGCAGCTGTGCGGAGGGGATGCTGGTGGCTGCGAGCGGGGCTCCCCTATCCATGCAGGAGTGCGGGGAAGCAGCCGTGCAGCTCTGAGCTCTGCCGTGGTGAGCACATCCATTCAAACAAAGCGCCTTATTTTTTATGAAGCGATCTGGAAATGGGTCGCTGAAGGGGAGCTTATTGATTGAAGAAGGATGAACTCCTCAAATTTCTCTGGTTTAAATTACACCAAATTCAATTACGATACGACAGGCAGGTTAACGCTGCTCTTTAACGGCCCCTCAATAAATTTGAGGAGGGGTAGCCTGCTCCTTGCCACGCTGTGGGAATGAATAACATTATTGCTCATCCTGTCATGGACAGGCAGTGATTTCTGTCCTCCCATGTCGTGGCTAAGTGCTTTATAGTGTTCACAGAGTAACGGCAGCCTGTTCTTCCACCAGCACCCCCTGCCAAGTCCAACCTCTAGTGCTGCTCTATCATTTCAAAAACTTTATTCCGCAAAAGAATTGACCTCAGATTCATTTGGGAGGTGTCAGTGCAGTCCTGATGTTTCCTGCCTCCAGGGAAAAGGAATAATTGGCTCACCAGGTTTTCAGGAGTGCTCAAGTGACTTAAGGCCATTAAGCACCCAAATTGTGACCTGTGGGATCTTCAGGAATATTGATGTGATAATCATGTAATAAACTAAACCATAACAAGATTTAGAAGAGATCACTTGTTTAGGAATTCTTCAAAGCTGTTGGCGTAGGTTTCCTTTCCCCTGTGGTGATGCAGATGTTACCTGCACATCTGGGCAGCTCAGGAGCTGCACTGGGGTCAGTGTGTATAAGCTTGCTCCTGCCCACAAGTTCAGCCTGCACTGCCCAATGTCAGGAGCTTGATATTCATTTTCACCCAGAAATAGAAGGTAAATTTTTGTGCAAGTGCAGCAGTATATCCTGATGTGCCAAAAATAATGTCTTAACTACATTTTCATAAAAATGTTCTCTGTTCTCTGCTTTTACAGCAGAAATGCACATAGAGGAAGGTCAGGGCCGTCCAGAGATTCCCCAAAATATTGCAGTTGGGCTACAGAATGAAGCTGGAGGGAGGTGAGGAGGAAGGACAGGAGTCAGGAGCACCACACAGCAGGGGTTCCATAAAACCTGGGCTTTCCCACATCAGAGCAGGACAGGCTGGGGAGGGTGCTGGGGCGCGCAGGGAAGGAGCAGTTCGCAGCAGCAGCAATGCCAGGAGCGGTGCCAGGGCACTGGAGAGGTGGGGCCGGCTCGTCCCGGCTGCTGGAGGTCCCTGGAAGGAGCTGCTGGCCCTGGGCACTCGAGGGGTGCAGAGTGCCCTTGCCAGCCCTCGTGTGTGCAGAGGGCTCCCGACACCAAGGTGAGCCCAGAGCCGGCGCTCGAGCCTCGCGGGATCCGCTGCTGGGAGCGTGGGGAGCGCTGAAGGTAAACCTGGAGAGGTGTGACCCAAATAGTCTGAAGCTGTTAGTGTGGGTAGAAAGGAGATCTAAAATACAGGCAGCCTGGCCCAAGCCAGTCTTGCTTTTACTCTTGAGACGCTGCTGCTGACAAAAAGAGTGGAATATTCATAGATACATCTATATTTAAAGCCTTGTTAAAATAAAATTGAGTGGAAACTTTTCATTGAGAAGTTGGGAGCAGAGAAGTCTTCCCTCTGCTAAACCTCAGTGTAAGCCCTGACCCAGACTGTCAGAGTGCTGCTCTTACCATCACCAACATTATTCTTGAGAGCCCACGGAAAGCTGGTTTAGCACTTATATTGGCAGAAATGTTTCTACCTGGAGATCATTAGAACATTCACTTTTTAAGAGAGTCCCTCAAAGCCCCCATAGCTGAGTGAGTCAGAGATGATGATTATCAATACTTAGATGGACAATCCCCAGCTCAGCATCTGCTCCGTACTGCTCCTAACCTCTGGAATTAGTTCCTTAGTTCTGTGATGAGTAGGAAGCAGTCCCAGACCCCTTTCTCTCCTGTCTATGTGCTGTTTGCTGAGCCGCACTTTTTGTTTAAAGGAAAACTTGCCATTCCAGCAGTGTAATCACTATTTTGTTGATTACACGAGTGGTTGGTAAAATAATATCAGCAAAAATAAATTTCAAGCTAGCCAAGTCTGTTCCTGGCCACCTTCGAAGAGGCTCTGGAGCACTGCTGCTGCTGTACAGTGATCTGCACCGTGGGCAGACAACCCCACCACTGCATCCCATGAAACCCTGGCATCCCCTGTTGTGGGGCTCAGCCATGCCAGTCCCTGGGGGAGCAGCACAGCACTTGGGAAGACAAATTGATTTTTTTTTGCTGCATGAGTTCAGCTTTGGCAAGTGGATTGTACCATTACCGCTGCAGTTTTCCTTTAAGGTGCTTTGGTGCCAAGCAAAGCATCAACCCAAAAACGGTTCAGCCAAGGTGCACTGTAGCTGCAGAGTAGCCCTGAGGGGCCATGTTGCTGACAACATGCTGTGATGTCTCTTCCTTCCCTGCCCTTCCCTCCTTTCTGCCCCACCCACAAAAATTCACAAGCAAACCCAAAACAAAACCCTAATAGGAAAATTTCCTGATGATTCGCTGGAGAGGCCAGGATCCAGCTTGCTCCAATATATATTAACATCCTAATGGGAAAGCTCTGCATGTATACATTTACTGCGCCCTGACAAGAGGGAATTAAATGTCAGAAGGATTTGTAGCATCTGTAATTGAATTGGTGCTGAGAAAAGCAAATCTTGAGGAAGAATAACATATTAGGATTAGCAAATAATGTGGCATTTTGTCAGTTCCTGCCATCTCAACTGTTCCCTCTTCAGCAATAAAGTTGTGATTTCTGGTTTAATCAGAGATAGGAGGCGGGAATAGCTTGGGTGAATTGGAGACAGCATTTAAAGCAGATTCCGGTTGTTAAGGTCAAGTCTCTCTTTGGCTTTGGGGAATTATTCCTTGTTCCATAGACCTGACACTTTGTTAATTACCCAAGAAATAGCGAGGGACAGGATGTGGAGGGGCTGCTGCTGTGCCGGTGGCACACAGACAGGTTTGCTGGGAGCAGTGTCAGTCGCTGGCGCTGGCTTTGGGCTTTGCCATGCCTGCAGGCAGAGCTCTTGGTGCTGGGTCATACTGCCAGAGCACGAGGGGTTGATGAGGGGCTGGAGGCAAGGAGAGGAGATGCTGCAGGAGGAATGTTTTAGGCCACGTGCAAGCGTGAGGATGTATTCAGCCACGTGTGTAACAGCGTGAACTTGGGGCTGGCACCTCGCAGGGGTCTTCCTTAGGAGGAGCAATTGAGAAAAATGGCCCTGCACGTCTCAGCAGAGGAACTGACACTTAACAACTCTTGCTGAGCAAACCTGGCAAGGCTTTAGGCCAAAGTCCCTTCTCAGGGGAACCCTCGCTCCCTGCTCTTGGCACGATGCCACGCAAAGGGAAGACAAGAGGGATGTGTCAGGCACAGGGCTCTGTCACAGCCTTGTCTCCGTGCAGTGGGATGGTGTGGAGGCTGCCGCTGCCAGCACAAACACACAGCTTCGTCTTTCCAGAACCTTAATTTATGATGATGAAGAAAAAATGCCTCTTGATGCAAAATCCTGCTGGAAGCACATTACAGAGCCGTAACTCAGCATGTTTATGCCCCTCAGCTGTTCCAGATGTCAACAAGGCACTCATCCGCCCAGGCTGGGATGCTGCTGGCTGCTCCGAATGCAGCCGAGCGGAACCGGGTGCAAAGTTTTTAAAAAAATAGGAAAAAAATGGAGTGAAGCATGCCTAAAGCAGCTGCTCCAGCAGATGAGCCATTCAGTTGCTTTGCGGAGAGCGGGTTCATGGAGGCCAGATCAGCCAAGCTGGAGTGGAGTGGGGGCTCCCAGGATGCCCAGTGTGACTGGTTTTCCCCAGCTGCCACCCTGGGCAAGCAGCAGTTCTGTGCCCGGGCACGGGATCAGCTCAGCACCCCATGAGTGTCCGTGGGCACCTTTCCCTCAACATGCAGGGGTGTTCAGCTTGCCACAGAGCGGATGCTGGGAAGAGATCACAGCATGATCTGTTCCCACTGGAGATGAGACAGAAGGTTCCCCTTTGCTGTGTTCTTGGTTTGCAGGGGAATAATCTTTTTTGGCTGCAGTTTTTACCTTATCAGCCAAGCTGCTGAAAGGGTCTTCACAGTGTCTCTCACCACACCCCAGCTCATCCTAGCATCTCACTGCCCACACTGGGGCTCCTGCTCTCAGAGGTTACTCGAAGGGGCTTTTTTTCTTAAATTGTTTTAATTAAAAGGCCCTTTATGGTGCTCTTGGTCCCCAGTTATTTACTTGGGTCCCTCAGTCCTTAATCTTGGAGCAGAATTGGAAATATCGATAGAAAGCGTAAATCCCAGCTGCTGCTCGAAAGCTTTGTATCAGGTCTCAGCTCAAAAGAGCCCCATTACCTTTAGCTGTCACGGATCTGTACGCTTGATCGATAAACTTCAAATATTATTAGAGGTGGAGGCTTCAGAGATTTGCTCTGTTCTTTGGAGGGAGACGGAGATAAATCTTTCTTAAAAATTGACTTGCATTTGCTCTCTCAGTCGTCCTGGCAAAACGCATTTCTCCGAGGTGTCCAGGCAGGCGCAGGCAGGGCAGATTTATGGGCCATGTGCTTCTTGTAGTGAAAGATTTAAATGGTAAATCCTTCACATATGACTTCACAAATCATGTAAAGTTAAAAGATTTTTACCGTTTCTGTTGCTGCTGTGCTTAAATTGTAAGGTATGGCCAGTAAATCATTTTAATAGAGGTGTCGCGCTTGACTCACTAAAAAAAAGAGACAATGGTTTAGCTTCTATTCCAAAATGTTAATGTATTAATCAGCGGGAGAATAATTGTTTTTTACTGCGTTATAAATCTCAGTTGCCATTAGGATTGCAGCGAGGGTTGATGTAGCTGCGTTCTTAAATTAAAATTGTTTACACTGCTATACATTCATTTTACATGGCCATAGCTCATCTGGGGTTCATTCCAGAGCTGTTCCTCCACCACATCAGTCATCCCTCTCCCAGGTGACGGCATCCCGAGGGAGAGGTGCTTCTCAAAGGAAACTAATTGTGTGGTGAGGAGTTAAATAAACGCAGTAAAGCAGTCGGAGGCACTGTACAGTTACTGCTCACTGTCGGCCTCGGACTGGGTGTTAGCTTTTGGGTCAGGAGGGCTGTATGCTTTTAGGTTGCATTGGACAGTAAAGGTGAGGGTTCGTGGTGGAACCCAGTTCATTTGGGGCAGAGGATGGTTGTAAACACATTTTCCATGCTGGGTGGGTTGGGTTTTGGGCAAGGAGTGTTTTGGGAAGTTGAAATGTTTTCAACAGGGCACTCGTTAATGACATTTCTCAGAGCTAACGATTAATTTTCCCATATTGTACTGCTCTTCTCCATGCCCCATCCACCAAGAAGGCTGAGATTTGGGGAGCACTATAGGGAAATTTCCCAAAATAGATCCCCACCAACAACTCCATGTGCCCTTCCTCCCCTCTCCCAGCTGTCTCCCACGTGCGTAGTCATAGTGCTGCTGCTTTTAGCGGAAAACACCTCGCGAGTCGAGCCGCCAGATCAGTTCGGCTCCGGACAAAGCTCCTCTGCCCGAACTCATCTGTCTAGTTAGCTCCGTGCTTCACCCCTGCTCCTCTGGAGAGCCCGAGGGCAGCTCTTCCCATCCCGAGAGCAGCTGCAGCCACAGCCTGCCGAGAGCGTCGTAGTAAGTCCCCAATTCTTATTCCTCTTCTGATCTCAACAGATTCCCGCGCAGGTGAGGAAGGGGCCATACGGAGTGTGGACCATGCTGTGGTTGGTGGCGTCGTGGCCGTCGTCGTCTTTGCGATGCTTTGCCTGCTCATCATTTTAGGGCGATATTTTGCCAGACATAAAGGTAAGACAGAGACCAAAGCTGGAGGATGGAAGGCCAGGCTCGTGTGTCCCCTCAGTCGTGGCGTTGTCACGTCTGACGGGACACACCCCCCGGTTTCTCTCCCGGCGGCACTTTTTGTTTCCTTTGTTGATCGCTCCCTCAGCGCCACACCAAGACCCCCGAGGAGTCACGCAGCCTCCACTTCCCTTGCAGGTACATACTTCACTCACGAAGCCAAAGGAGCAGATGATGCGGCCGATGCAGACACAGCCATCATCAACGCAGAGGGGGGACAAAACAACTCCGAGGAAAAGAAAGAGTACTTCATCTAGAGCAGCCTTGGTTCCCATGAGGTGTCCAACTGTGGACGGTTACTACTGGCCCTATTTAAACGCTACAAAGACAAAGTGATCTTGGAAGTTGCAACCAGCTTGTGTCTTTTTTTTTTTAAGGAAAAAAAAGCAAATGGGTGGAGAGCGGTGAGGCCGGGAAGGTCTGGGATTTGCTGTGTAAAAATATTCCTCGTAAAGTACACTCTGCTGTTTGACACCTCAGTTCGTTTGGGTTTTCTTTTTTTGGCCAAGTCCAGCTTGGATTTAGTTTAGTGAAGTCATTTGCAGAAGATTCTGTGCCTTGTTTAATTTCTGTTCGTTCGGGTCGGGGGGAGGCTGGGAAGAAGAGGGGCTTCTGTGCGTTAGTTCCCTTCGGGTTTCTGTGGCTCTTCGTTTCCCCTTTCCTGTTTCTGGAGTTGCCAGCTGGGACCCCGTGGAGTAGGTGCGTTTCTCTGAAGGTGTTTCCCCTTTTTTCTCTTCACCGGTTTCCGTTCAGAACTCGAGCTCATCGGAGGAGAACCAGCACATTTTAGATGCGTAGTTTGCAGTTCAGTGTGCCCATGTCCCGTTCCCCTGTTGCCGTCAGGGCTCGGATAACACCCCCCAAGCCCCCTTTTGTGGCTGTTTCAGGTGCTTTCGATGGTGGCGGCTGGGAAATGGGCTGGAGCTCGGCAGAGGCGCTGCGTGGCCGCGGGGATGCGGGAGCAGGGTCCTTGCTGGGCAGGCAGAGCCCTCCCGGGTGCAGGGGCTTCTCCTCATCCTCTCCCCGCTTGGCGGCCATGGATTCAGCAGGTAAAGCCCCTCTGACGTGTGAGCCCAGACCTGGAGAGCGGCTGGATGAACAAAACTGCCTTTTTTTTCTACCTGCTGAGTAAAACGCGGGAATTTGTGTTGAAACGAGCGTGCTAATGACCACTAAAGCCATAGGTGCACAGGAGACTCTGGCTCAATTGGAATTGTAAGCGACAGGTAGCAAACTGCAGCGGGAAGACGGTATAAAGTTATATATGCTGACTTTTTTTTGGTGAGTAATCATGGATTTCGAGCGATACTTTTTTATTGTGTTTATGTGGCAAATGTATCTGATTTATTTAAGGAAAGCATTAATCTTAGTGTCAGGTTTGGGGATTTTTTTACGGGTTTCGGGGGGGGGGGGGCCATTTCCGTGCGTTTGTTTTTTAATTGCTGTCTTTTGGCAGAACCATTACAATGTGGGATTCCCTCGGGAGCGGGGCGGCCTGGCGCAGCACGCGGGCCCGTTCCCCGGCACTACTCCTCCGTCTTTTCCCCTCTTCACGAGCAGAACCTCGCGAAACACCCGTTTTTTCCGAGCAGCTTTTGTCGAGCGCAGCTCTTCCCTGAGCCCTCAGCACCATTGCCAAACCCCATCGCGGTGAGAAGCAGCCAGGCTGGAGCCGGGGGCTCCGCGGCACGGGACGGGCATCCTGGCCTTGAGCAGCCCATATTTGTTTGGAAGTGTACCGTAGTGCAGTGTTACCGATGTAACTTTGACTTACAATGTTGACATGTCTCAGGTTCATGTGTTTGATTGGTGTTTTCCGTCTCAGGTAGATTGCAAAATTTCGGCCCCACGCATTGGAAAAATAAAAAAAAAAAAAAAAAACCCCACACGTAAAAACAGGAGAAAAACCAGGAAATTATTAATTTTAGTTGTATATCGGTTTATGTATTTTTTCTTCAGTATACAGTGCACTGTTGAAATGTATTGTTGAGTATTACTTTGTACAGCTTTAGATCATTAGGACTTTGAAGCGTGAAGAAAGAACAACCTTGTTTAAAGGAGGATCACAAATGAAGAACGCAGAACTGATGATAAACAACCTTGTTCTTTATTTACCCGGCCTTTTTATTTTTCCCCCTTAGGCCAGTTCTGTTTTAAGGTGTCCATGGAAGATGTTACAGTGTAAGAAAATACATATCCATCTGTTCCCATTCACATTTTGTATTGGTTCATGTATCCCATTTTTACAAAGGAAAAGAAGTACTATAAAATATCTGTCTTCTTAATAAAAAAAAGTTAATGTTACAAAACTAGACCTTGTTTTGCACTCTTTATCCCAGCTGTTACAGAGTCCACTATTGGAGCTCCAGCAGTAACGTGGGCTGGGGCTGAGCAGGTCACCCTCAGCACTAGGATAAAAGGAGTTAAACCTGATGTATTGAGCCTGCATATAATATAGAGGAGATTTCGTAAGTTTCTTGTTTATAATTGCTAAATTATTTTATTTAAGGAGTAATGCCTTGGAGAAAATTGATGTGACACTGATATTCCAACTTTCCCAGGCTGGGGTAGGTCGGTACGCAAGTTCTTAATAGCAGACACATATTTACATCCTCCCTTGGAAGGTAAGTGTTGAAATACGTGACCTCCTCACCCCGTTCTTGTGTCCCGTTCAGTCCTGGTGCTGCCAGATTTCCTGGCGTGTGTCTGTGAACCACTTGGCATTTCCAATTTTGCCAGCGACGCGCGGCCCCGGCGGCCGGAGCTGCTGGAAGGATCCGCGTGGCTCCGCTCGGGCAGCCAGCACTCCCCCTCCTGCCTTCCCCCCACCACAGCCCCCCAAACCAGGCTGCGAGGCAGCTGCGGCGCTGAAATTAGAATCATTAATCTTTTATGTTTTGCACAAAGGATGAGGAGGAAGACAATTGCTTTTTGAGGAGATCACACCGAGAACAGCCGTGCAGAAAAGCGGCGTGCTTGGCCCCCGAGGGGCCGTGCAGACCCAGGTGTCTGTGCCAGACCAAGGCCACTGTCCGGCTCTTGGGCACTCAGGGCATCTCGTGGTTATGTCACAGATAACGTTTTTCTGAGCAAAATCATGACACTGAGGGAAAAACCATAGGGCAGAGCCAAAAAAGCAGCTCGCTCTTTTCTTACCTGAAACGAGCAGAGCAGCTTTGATGGTTTCCATGGCTATTGCAATTACTTCAGTGCAGAAGAGGTTTGTGGCTGATGCCAGCTCACGATGGTTTTCTCCTTAAGCCAGCACTAATTGTGTCTCACACTTGTGGTGTCTGTAATTTATCCTCTCAGGGGTCCACGTCTTTCAGGGTTTTAAGGTTATTTAGTGGTGCTTTTCTTCCCATTGAACCTAAACACTCTGGTCCTTTGCTTTTCTGGCCCTACACAGGCAGTACAAGTAGGTGGCAGGAAACTGTACCTGTAGCATGCAGGATCAGGTACCTGAAGAAATCCTTTGCATTAACTTCTCAGACACTGAGATACAAAGAATTTGGGTGGGGAAAGCTGAAGTCAGTAACAATTGAGCAACAAGATTTAGTGACCGCTATACCTTGTGACCAACTGCAGAAACACACTCCTCATACCTGACCCCACAGCTGCTGAGCCTGGCCCATTACACTGAGCTGAGGACACTGCCAGGATTTTATGAAAATGAAGAAAACCATCATTACTTCAAATAAGAATGTAGTCCTTGCCCTGAATTTCACATTTTCACAATTTGCAGAAGTCATTTGGTCCTAATTGCAAAATTACTTTATTAGGTCAATAATACAGTTCTTAAATTTCTTCCCTTTTTAACCAAATACAGGGAGGAATTGTTTTAACTGGGTATCTGAGTCTGTGTAATTACAGCCTGTTCTGCCAGGCTGAAGTTGCCGAAAACCTTAAGCCACGTAAAGTAATTAGCAACAAATGACACTTAAACTCACACCAGGTAAGGCGTACCTGGATCTGGGCCGGGTGATTGAAATACACGGGAGCAGGGACGAGGCGTGAGCTGGCAGCATCGATCCCTGCCGGCCAGTCAGTTCTCATCAGAGGGTCCTAACAAGGGGCTAATAGCTTTTTCTGAAGATCCAATCCCATTTTCTAGGCAGCTGCTGGTGCTGTGCCACCTGGGATAACGCCTGCTGCAGGTGGCATCGATCGGGCAGGGGCACGTGTGGCACCCAGCGCTGTGTCCCAGCAGCTTTGTCTGGCTGTGTCATCTCAGCCAAGGGAAAACCTGAATTCCATCTAAACCCCAACACCTGGCTTAAAAATTTACGTCTGAATTAGTGTAACCAGGAAAAGAATTTCAGTGCACTGACCACGAAGGGTTTAAACCGGGCTTGTCCTGTTTCCAGAGTCAGCCGTGGAGGTGATCCCTGCAGCACTCCGAGGTCTCTCCCAAAAAGCTGTGCCCACGGTGAGCAGGGCAGGGGCTGGGCAGGGTCCTGTGGGACTCTGCAGAGCTCTGCACGCCCTGCAGCTGGGCTGCAAACCGAGGAGCTCCTTGGTCTGTTTCAGTTAAATAAACAGGCTTTACGTAAACAAACGGGTTTTAGGAAGAAAAATAAGCCTTAGCCGAGCCAACAAACACTATGTGAAAAAATAAACTTTAGTTGAATAAGCAGACTTTAGTGCAGTAAAGAGCTTGAGTTCAATAAGCAAACTCTGTTCAGATCCAGCTGTGCAGCGAGGAGAAGGAGGAGAGCTCAGCAATCCTGCCCAGCACAGGCTCTCCTGGAGAGAGACCCTGAGGGCTGCTGTGACTGGGGACACCATCAGTGTCCCCAGGATGCCTCCCTGGCCCGTGTCAGGTCCTCTCTCACCCCTCCAGGCTCATCCTGTCCCCTCACCCGTCCCCGGGGAGATGATGGACTGATGGGTGTGCTCTGCTCGAGACTCCAGCGCTGGCTGCAGAGCTCTCCATCTGTTTTCCCTGTCAGCCCGGGCTGAGCTGCATTAATATCAGCTGTAACCCGTGTGCCTCTGCCTATCTGCCCACAGCCTGTTCTCCTGCACCAGTTCCTTATCCTGTTGTGCAGGATAGCGGCAGCCCTGTAAGTCACAGACCTGGAGTGATGTGGGCAGCACAGGAATAATGCCTACAGATGGAGCAGGGATGCAGAATGTGGATGGGAAAGGGAAGGGAGAGGTGCCATTCAACAGCTCTGCAGCCCAAGGTGAGCAGGGTTCGGGCACTGGGCAGCCTGAGTGTGGTTTGGGGGACAGCCTGCACCCCAGAAGGTGGGGAAACTGAGCCCTTTGGAAGAGTGAAGGCATTCAGCAGCCCTGGGATGTCTCGTTCCTGCCTTGGGGCACACCTGTGAGCCAGACCCACGTCTGCCTCCCGACTTCACTCCCTGTGGTGGCTGGCAGAGTTGCTCTAAGCTGTTCCATGCCCTGTCCCCAGAGAAATCCTGGAAATCCTATTTTCCTGCTTTGTGTCCCAACAGTACCAGTGCTGACCCAAGTCCTCAGGTGCTGGCTCTCAGCATCCTTTGGGGTGAGTGGGATGCCCCAAAGTGGGAATCCCAGGCTGCAGTGGTACCTGTGCAGGTGCTGTGTCACACCTGGGCTGCTGAGCCCCAGGTTAAGCACCTGCCAGGGCAGCACCATTCCCCCGGGATTCCTGCAGCTCCCACCTCGCCTGCCCGAGCACAGCCGGAGCAGGCACGGAGCGAGCAGGCGGGAGATGTGAGGGCTGCCAGGAGCAAAGGGAATATTTGATCAGATGCCCTCCTCTCTCCTCTGTTCCCGGCTCTCAGCCTCCCCCGGGGACGGCACCTCGCTGCCTCCAGGCGCCACAGCTGCGACAGGTTGGCAGCAGCTCCTCAAAATGGGGCCTGCATGGGAATCTCAATGAGGTGGAGAAGGTATTCTTCAGCCTGTGACTCTCCCTGTTCTTTTCTGCACCCTGAGCCTTTTCTCCTTTCTCAGTTCCAGCTCTCTCCACTGTTTTCCGTGCCCATGGTCAGCTTTCTGTTCTCTGTAGCTGCTCCCTGTGTGTGTTCCCAGGATGGAAGGTGCTGCCCCGTGCCCTGCACTGGGACACAGCTTGCTCAGACCTTGTCCTTCCCCAGACATGCCCCTTGTCCACAGCTTGCTCAGACCTTGTCCTTCCCCAGACATGCCCCTTGTCCACAGCTTGCTCAGACCTTGTTCTTCCCCAGACATGCCCCTTGTCCATGCATGGGGAAGGGGCATGTCTGGGGAAGGACAAGGTCTGAGCAAGCTGTGTCCCAGTGCAGGGACATTCGTGCTTCTTCCACACAGCCTGCTCCCAGCCAGGGGAGCACGGTGCCCCGAGCATCCTGCAGTGGTGGCTGGGACCTGCTGGGAAGGGGCTTCTCCCCACACCCACAGCCAGGCAGCCCTTCCCTGCGGCCCCGGGCAGTCCTTCCCCACTGCTCTGTCCGCAATCAGCCCGATTATCCCTGGTAATTGTCCCTTCTCTGGGTGATGCTGCCGAGCAGGGACACGGAGCGTGGCAGTGTTTTTCTGTGACTAAGAAAAGGTGTGTACGTGGCCTTGATTGCAAATGAAAAATTAAGGCCCCGTGTCTCGCATTCATTCCTACTTGATTACACACCAGTACATAAACAAATCTTCACCCAGTTGCCTGAGGGGTGTCAATGATCCACCTTTGCTTGGCTCGCCTCTCCTCCAGCAAATCTATAACGCGTTTAATCTTTGCCACTCACTCTCCTCAGTTTTTAAATGTCTAATTTGCTGCCAAGAGCGGCTCCAGTTCTCACTGTGCTGCCGCTTTTCCTGCCTGCTGTGTGCCTGATTGCTGGGCTGGAGCTGCAGGGTGCTCCTGGCCCTGGGGAGGGGAGATGCTGCGGCTCGGGGCCAGCAGCCCTGCCCCGAGCTGTGCCCTGGCCCACGGGGCTCGTGCCAGGGCTGGCAGGCAGCTTTAGAGCAAACCCCAAACTCCACGCGTTTGCAAGCCGATGGAGGAGAAATTAAATTTGCGGTGGAGCTCTCAGGTTTGGGAGCTGGGTCATGGGACAGCTTAGCAGACAGTTTTCAGTGAGGCAAAGGGAAATGAAGAGCAGGGTTTGCTGAGGTTCTTGGACCCTTTGTGTGTTCAGTGGAAATCCTTGGAGCATCAGTTTGTCCTGCTGGGAGTGGCAGGGTCACAAGCAGATCGTGCCAGGTGTCCCCATCGAAGCCCTCGAGCTCTGGAGGAGTTGGCATCACCCACCCCCCCAGTGTGCTCCCTCTGTCTGCCCTGCCTGCCTGGTCCCTGTGGGCTGGTCACACATGGACCAAGGGATCTCTGGGATCCCAGTGACCA